TAACCCTAGCTGGACCAGGCACCCAGACCACTTCATTAAGCTGAAGTGGTCTGGGTGCCTAGAGTGGTCCTTTAAGCACTTTTGATTGGCCCCTTCCTCCTCCAGCTGAATCGAATTACACAATACAGCACTCAATAACGATAAATAGAAAAACATTATAGACATTGGAAAATGTTATCTAGAGACCCCATATTTTGCAAAGTAATCCCCAAGAAGGCACATATGATATATATAAAAGCAAAAACCACATAAAAGTATTTATTTACATAAAAGTATACTAGACCCAAGTTATAAAAATACTTTAATTTTAAAAGAAAAGGTTTTGATTCAACACCCAAAGACTACTGCGAGTAATGGACTTTTTAAAGCATGGCCACAGGTGAAAGTTTTTAATAAATTGCAATATAAAACGTGTTATTTATTTGCAACAAAATCCATGATAATACGGGGCAAGAACATGTAAAAACTTGGAGGAAAGAATGCTAGAACACCAGTACAATATTAAGTACAATTTTAAAAATCACATAGTACCCATACATTGCAATAGTTGTTAGAAATGTAATTAGAATGTTTCTTATTACCGGGGTATGTTGGTATATTCTATTAGCTATGAAGGGAGGAGACGGAGGAGGAACACAATGAGTACACTATGTAGATTTTTTTCAGGCTGCTACAATGTCCACTATAGAACATATGCTTAGTGTAACTGCATTACTGTAGGTATTGAGCCCCATACAGGCATTTTAATCTGTTTTTTTTTTTTTATCATACCTACTGTACAATTAAACATTTTATTTTGATTTATATACTAATATTTTAAATGTGAGATAATGCAAAATAAGGAAAAACATTTCATGTCTGAAATTTTTTTATCCCCCAAATATTTCTGTAAAATGTGAATAAATAAATGAATAGCAATTGGTTTTATTCTTAACTGCAATCTGTACACACAATTGCCAGTTTAATGCTTATATTCCCTAGTTATGTATTCTGTGTTTTAAATATTTTAGGTCTTCAAATAAAAGTATATTTGTGATGATGGTATTGGTGGCGCTAAAATGTGTTTTATTAATTGAGGCCAAAGTTAAAATAAAGGCACAGGTTGAGTGTAAAACAGGGAAGTATCTGTTAAGATAAAGGATTTAAAATATTGAACGAAACCTCACTACTGAACAGGTTGGAGACATTTATTGAGAGTGATATGACCCAGCCAATCAACTGAAGTGTTCAGCTGGGCAAATGTCAGTGGGTTACTATCTCTCTCTATGGTGTAGGAGTCTGGGTCCTCTAATTTGAATAAAATTCAATCATTGTTGGCAGTTGCATACCTCCCAAAATATCAAATAGACAAGAGCGACACTTTAATTTTAGGTGTGTGATAGGGGATGTTACCAGGGCAGCCTTTTTGAGAAATTGTAGGTAATGAACTAATAACAATTTATGCAACTAAAATGTAATTGAGAACATGAACAATGTAGCTTATTTGCACAGACCGACTTCAAAACACATTTATTCTTGTTTAAAGACACATTACAGTGAGTATTATTGCATGGGAGCTCCATTGCTGAGTTATCTGAATGTGCAAGAAAGACCTTAGAATAAAAAAAGGGGTCATAGGTATTGGGCTCAAAATAGAGACTGTCCCTGTTAAATAGCAACACTTGGCCGCTATGCAGTGTCATCCCTGCACAGGATCTAGCACACTTTAACAGCACCATTTCTGAAACACCAATTTGCATTGGTTGCAGTTGTTGGTAAGTAACATGTACATCTCAACTATTTTTCTAATGTTCCCATGTATTTTAAATCCCAATATTTCTAATCCTTCCTGTAGTGAAAACAGAGGAGTCAAAAAGAAAAAAAAATCAAGCATTTCCATCATGCAAACAATTCAGTTGCATCCTTTTACCTTAGGTGGCTAATACGTCTGTCCTCATACATATCTTCAAAATCTGTTAGCCTACTTTAGAAAAAAATAAGGCTGAAGAATCAGGTGATAAAATTCAATTTTATCTGATTCACTGCTTGGGTAGATTTGAATAATTCTTAAAACTACACCCATGTATTGTTCCTGGTTTTGTGTATTTGATAATAAGCTCAATAAAAACATTTATTTGAAAGAAAAGGAAATTAAAAACAGCACCCTGGAGTATCAATAGCGGTTTAAACTCAAGATTTACAAAGATAAATAACAGTGACCCAATGTGTGCTACGTGCAACTGTGTAAGAGACTCTAACACCCTGGTGAGGTTCCCTTAACCTTCACCAAAAAAGAGATACAAACACCACAAAATATAACCTTATATTTTGTGGTGTTTGTAAACTCAAGATTTGCTTTGAAACATTACCGTTTCTTATTTGCCCATTGAATTGGTAAGAAAAATATATATATCACCTAAGATGGTAATATCAGGTGCTCTGGGGGTTTTAAAGTGCATGTTTAGGGAGTTCTTACAATCAACACATTTTAATGATCATCATTAAAATAAATTTAAGAAAACAAATACAGTAAATGATCAATTGTTCTTATTGATGTTATTTTTACCTATAATAAATTAAATTATACTTTTTTATTTTTTTTAAGGGACATGCATTTGGCAATTCTTTTTTTTAAGCTGTCAAGAAAGACTTTTAAACAAACATATAAACTAAAATGAAGCAAGAATAACTTTGAAAAGCATGTATAAATGTACTATAAACTCAGTCAGATTACATTGTTAGGCACACCTCTCAGCTGAAAGAATTTAATCAGTTTCCCTTCCCTTCCCTCTTACCCACACATCTCAGTTTCATATCAGTCCACCAATGACAGATACATGTGTCACTGTGCTGCAGCAGCAGAGAGAAATCTGACACCTGAGCCTGCTGTGCATGAATCACATTGGCTCAACAACCACTCTACCCATGTCAGTATGTTACAAGGTGAAGATATCTTCCAACTGCACATGTGTTAATCTGTCCGGCATGCCCAATGCACTTTTCCTGTATTCCTCAGGATAGGAAACTGATTGGTTAGATCAGTGTTCGCCCTGGAGTTGCTGTGGAAAGCAAGAAAGTTGTCTGTTTTTTTTCAGCTAAGGTTTTTGAATGAGACAGTTGTCTTAAAGTGATGCATATCCCTATAAAAGTAAATAATATCCCTTTAAAAGACTTTGCACTTCTAGTTTTCTTAGTTTGTGTTTCCTCAAGTTAAGGAGGAGTGTCCATAATATTTAGATTCTAAAATATTTGCGGAACCTTGCACGGTTCAGGGATATTTTATATAATATATGCAAGTTTAATTTCTGGAATAAACATTAATACTATTTAGGTATTTGTTAATAGATTACATATGTAGCATATGGTCTATCAGTGTACATGCAATAACAACATTATGCAAATATGCATGTATAATGATATTCACAATTACAAATATAAAGTATTTTATTAAAGTACAGTAACAATGGTTTATTTTTGTTTTATTAAAGAATATTTAAGATATTTACAGATATGTATATCTTTACATGCTATATGAGACACAAAATTTGACTTAGTTGGTCATGAAAACATGATGTGTAAGTATACGGTACCTAAGAAGATATTTTGCATTTGGAAAAAAGTTAATTATATAATGTCTATCAAAACTCTACAGCATTGGTATAGATTATTGTTATTGTTATTGTTAATCAATATTTAAATCTTTTGTTTTTAAAACTTATTTTTTTTTCCACCTACTTCAACTGCAATGGTTATATGTAGCTTTGAAGACTGTCAATGTATATTATGCACCTGAGAGTCTAATAATAATCTAGCTATATCACTGTTTTATCAATGTCCTACGCAATGTAAATGCGTAACAAATATATGTTTCTTTATTATTCTGATGTTTCTTTTATATTTTTTTCTGTTACAGGACCTGGAAGAATCCGAACGCTTGTCTACCTTGCCAGCATGGCGCAGAGAAATCTTGAGGAAGAAAATGGAAGAAGAGAAGTAAGAATTAGTTTTAATGAGTCAAAATAAGCTACCGCCTGGCGGGTCTAGGTTTATACGACACTAGTGCAGGCTATAAGGTGTAAATCGAGGAAAAGCAGCAGGTGCTTCGCTGTCATGGCTAACAAAGGGATGATTGTGTAACCAGTAGAAAATAGATATCGTTCCGCATTTATTTATTTCATTTGATCCTGGTAGACCTTTACAGTCTAGTTGCCATAAAGCAATATATTTTCCAGAAATCTTAGTCAAAGATAACTGCATCACAATGAAGGTTCCGGACCTCGAGAGCTGCCATAATCTCTTCTTGGTAGTCCTGCTAAAGAAATCACTTAAAACATTGAAAAGAGGAGAGACGCACATCATAGGGGTAACATCAAGTGACATTACCACCAACACAGAAGATTGTTCAGGTTTATCTGGCCTCCAGATAACCAAAACAGATACCAGATTCCTTTTTGGAACACCTTGAATGTTTCTGTGGTTTCGGCATTTCATAGCTCCTTGTCAGCCACTCTATTATATTATTATTGCAGTTAGTTAATAGATGTCTCCCACTGTGCTAAGTAAGTTGTCATTGCTCCTTACAACTCTGGTGTTGTGGTATCGTGACATAAACAGGCAGAATTGGGTGAGATTGATATTTATTTACAATTGTTTTGTCTTCTGGGGAACACTGATATATAAAAAAAAAAAGTATTACAATAAAAGGTTTCTGCTCTTGGAAAATCAAATTCACTTTGTGCCTAGGAGTATTCAGCTACATCTATCTGGTGAGGACCAAGAAAGTTGAAGGAAAAAATTCTCATTTAGGGTTGCTGTGTCTCTCGTGCAGAGAGAACCTGTCATTTCTTCTCTCACCATATCTGCAAAAGATGTCAATGCTGCTACAGTAAATTATTTAATGGTAACAGTTGCCTGATGTCTTATAACTGTGATTTTTCTAAGGCACCCAGTTGAAGAACCCTTTTTGGTTTTTGACTCCGGGCTTAAGAATCACTGTTGGGGACAGAGATAGCTAAACAGATATATGGTTAGGTTTTTTTTATTTCTTTATAAGAGATTTAACGTTTTTTTTATCTTTTTTTTTTTTCTCTCCAACGTTCGTGTAACAGAGAACAGAAACGGTAAGTTGCACTTAACATGTAATTATATTTTGGGGGCAGGAGGGGTTACGTGTTTGTTTTTTGTTTGTTTTGTGAGTTTAACAAACAAGATGTACAAGATGCTTGGGATTCAGACCAAGGTTATATTTTATTGTTTTTTACACATATATTGACTTAAACCCATCCTAAAACCAGTATAACACTATGCCCTAATCAACCGTAAACCCTAACATGTTCTATAAATCACATTTTGACACAGCATCTTTGATTGAATTCAGAGTATTACATTGACCTATTTTTATGAACTCCATATCTGCCGTATTTATCCCAAAACATGCTGTTTTTAACCCTGCACCCATTGCAATAACCCCACAGTGTGCTACATAATTTACTCCAAATACAGTGGCATTGACACTGATCAGCCAAACATTAAAAACACTGACAGGTGAAGTGAATAACATTGATTATATTGCTACTATGGCACCTGTCAAGGGGTGGAATATATCAGGCAGCAAATGCACAGTCAGTTCTTGAATTTCATGTGTTGGAAGCAGGGAAAATGGGCATGCGAAAAGATCTGAGTGACTTTGACAAGGACCAAATAGTGATGGCTAGACAACTGGGTCAGAGCATCTTCAAAACTCCAAGTCTTGTGGGGTGGTCTAAGTATGCAGTATTTAAAACCTACAAAATATTTTTGTTCACCAAAATACAGTGAAAGTATTTGTGGATCTAAAATTAGAGATAAAATTTGAGTCTTAAGAAACATTCCATGACAGCTTACTCAGTTGTCTACTTTATGGTGCAAACATGTACACCATTACTGTTCCCTACACAATAGTGCTTACAGTTGCAGTGGATTGCAAACATTGCTGTAGCTATAAACCCGCGTATTGCCCACATACATCTCAAATGGAAATTAGGCTAAACATATACTTGTATAAAGCATGTCCACAAATATACTTTTAACTTTTAAGAACCTGCCAATTTATGATTGGTATTTTTTTAATTATTTTTTAATTGTTATTATTCTCTGCATTTTAGGAAAGAACAGGAGAAGTTAAGGAAAGAAGAGGAGGAAAGAGAAAAAGAACAATCTGAAAAGCTAAGGACACTCGGTTACGATGAAACAAAGTTAGCACCTTGGCAGAGGCAAATTATTCTTAAGAAAGGGGACATTGCTAAACACTAATGGAAATGCATTTATAACCATTATACTCTTAATTTAATGTCAAACTGTACATCCTCACTGCCAGCTGTTCAATAGGTGAAGAGTGGAAGCATTTGCACAGCTGCACTTCACAATAACTGGATCATTTACTTAACCCCCTGAGTGCCAGAGGGTGAGCAATGCATTGTCTACTGCTCTGGAGCTCACATGGGTTAAGCAACAATTTGGATTTAAAGAATTAAGTTGAGGCTACATAAGGAAATGGTTGATATGTAATGTTGCAATATGTGGAATTCAGATGTTAGAATTAAGACACAGGAAGTTTACATATATATTGTTCTATAGCAAAATTAGAAAACGTGTCTCTTTATGTTTATTTTTTCATAAACTACAGCGCTATATTCACTAGATATTATGAAAAATGTACACCAACTGAAGGCAACTGGAGTTACGAGCTTGTTTCATTGAACACACAACATAGAGGGTATTGTAAATCACTCACTTAACCCCCTGGGTGCCAGAGGGCGAGTAACCAATGCTTGGCAATGCATTGTCCACTGCTCGAATCTTGAGGCATCTATTCAACAGACAACAATGTAAAAGATAGTGATGATGAAATAATGTCGGTTAAACTTGCACTGCTAAGAACTCTATTTTAAAAACTGTAGAAACTGATTGGTTGAACAGTTCTGCATGTTATATTAAATTGTGAAAAGAGTTGGCTCTCATTCTTTGAATACAACCACTTCATATTTGAAAGAAAAATAAAAAACGCACCAAATATTCATCCCAAAGAATGCTAACGCATTTCACATTATTCCACTTAGATCAATACCACCCTAGTCTGCCAACCACTAAACTAGTTAATTAAAAGATATTGTATCTGCATATTTCCTTACAAAAATAAAGTTGCTCAGCCCAGAAGTGTTGCATTTCTCTCCTACTAAGAAAATAGGTTTCTGGTTTTTGGTTCTCCACTTTTATAGTACAAGTTTTCAGTTTCTGGTGGGTATCTCTAGAAAAGAGAAGCATGTCTCTTTTTTTCTGAAGGTTTTTACTTTTAATCTCAGGGATTTCATAAAATCCTTGTCTGTATTCTTCTCCTTCTCCAGATTCAGATTTTAGCCTTGGCAATTCATATTTTGTAATTCATCAACTGTAATTCACTCACAGTTATAAAATATTGGATTTAATTAGTTAATGATATAAAACACGTGTTCATAATCCTTTTACAATAGAAGTAGACAGGTTATGTCATTGGTGTCACTCTATAAAAAAGTGATTTGGAAAATTGGCACCCCTAACGCTTGTGAATTGCATTCCCTTGTGGGCTTGCTGAACACCATATAACATACGGTTTCTAAACATCTATTGAGTCACGTTTATCCAAATCTGTCTGTGAAAATCGAGAGCTTAATATTCTGTACCAACCTTGTGATACCACTTATTAGAATGACACTAGAACTAGTTACTGCCATACATCTTCGCAATCTCACCTGAAGATCAAGGAGATTGAGAATTAATCAGATACATTCGTTTTAAAGGAACACTCCAAGAACCGTTTCCACTACAGACCACTGTAGTGATTATGGTGCCATGATGGACCTTGTGCTTTCTAAGCATCCAAACAAAGCCTGCCACCACCTTCATGACCTAAGCCATGCTGGGCAGTGTCAACTGGCCGCTTTCAACAAATGAACACCACCCTGCACTGCTTACTTCACTGAGGGCTTCCAGTTGCAGAGGAGGTTGAGGCAGGCAACCGGTTGAAACCAGGTAAGTTGTTACACCATTCTCAAATGGTTTCACTACTTATCTTGTGAGGCCACCAGGGCACTTCTTGCATCATAACCATTGCAGTGTGCTGTGTTGGTGATTACGTTTGGAGTCTTCGTTTAAACCCTTCACTACAAAGTTATTTTCAATAGAAGATAACACATTACATTAAACATAACAGTAATTACATTAATAAAACTGCAGAATAGAGATATAAAAAAATTACAAAATATAAATTCATAGAATCTCTATATTTTGTTTGCGGAAATATTGCGTGATGGGAGGGGTTATAAAGTATTAGACATTACAAAGTATCTCTGGTCATGGAATTACATAGAATTAAATAATAAAAACTATTTTATAATCCTGATATAGGTAATGCATAGTTAGGTTAGGAAAAGAAAGAAGTCCATGTTCTGCCTTGAACATGTATGGAGCTGCTGTTGATCCAAAAGAACGAAAAAAGTACTTGAAAGTATTTCAAAAATGAGAAAATCAAAATATCCTACTTGACACTAGAATTGATCCCGGCAACAACAAGCTGTCACAGGCATATTCAATTTTATTCATTTTAAAACAGAAATAACTGTCAAAATCCTGCTCGTAAATAATTGTAATGAATCTGCTGGTGTTTTTTGGAATTTGGATTCCTGAAAATTACACCAAAATCTAAATTAATTGTTGTAAGTGGCCATTGTACCTATACACACAGTAAATACAGTTGCCTGGTTAAAACTTGACATCGAAACTTGCAATATAAACAGAACACTACTTTTTCTTTCCTCATCAACTGCTATCATGAGTTTTTGTATTAATTGAGCCTTCTATGCTCCGGTTCAGTGAATCTGGGAATAGAACTATAGACCCTTTTGCATGAGACATAGGTACACATTCAGACTCAGATGGCTGGATTCCTTTTCTTTGGCATTTCAAAACTAAATGATCGATTCAATTGTAATTGTAATGTTTTATTGTCTTGGAAATGTCTGAAATAACTGCAATGTTAAATCTTAACATCTTGGTAGGTGTATCATGATGGTAAGGGGCAAAAAAAATAAATTCTGAAATCATCAATTATTAACTGTTTTTATATGTTATCAAAATCAGGATCCAAAAATATATTTTTATTCCAAAAAGGCTGCTTTTCACAGAAATTTGATTTTCTAAAAGAATTATACATAAAATTGTGAATTATACATAAAATGGTGAATTGTGGGGAATTATACAGTAGAATTTAAAAAAAAAAGGCCTTAACTGTGATAATGAAAAGTCCAGTTTGTAACTTTTTTCAATTACAGCTCTTTGGATATAAAAAAAAATAATTTTTGCTCGCCAATTGACCTCACATTCGCGATTAGTGAATATACAATTTAAATAAAAATAATGCTCCTATATGAAATTATTAATATTCCTCTAAAGGGTTATTTTAAGCAACAAAACCACTACAGCATGCTGTAGTAGATATGGTGCCAGGAGCATGCTGTAGTAGTTATGGTGCCAGGAGTACTTAAGCCCCACACCCTGGTAAGAGATCAAACTGTTTATGAATGGTTTGACACTAAACTGGGTCTCCTCGATATAGCTAAAGAGGAAGTTCTCATTCTATTTTAGCTACATCAGTCCCGTCAAATTTTTAACAGTATCCATAGATCGTCATTGTTAGCTAGAGATGTCGCGAACCGTTCGTGAACTTCCCGCGAACGGCTCGCTGTGGTTCGCCACGAACCGTTCGCGGGGAGCTCCAGTCAGCTGACACATCCCGGCCAATCTCCAGCAGACCCTCCCTCCCAGACCCTCCCACCTCCTGGACAGCATCCATGTTGAAGCCTTCAACATGGATGCTGTCCAGGAGGTGGGAGGGTCTGGGAGGGAGGGTCTGCTGGAGATTGGCCGGGATGTGTCAGCTGACCGGAGCTCACCACGAACCGCGGCGAGCCGTTCGCGGGAAGTTCGCGAACGGTTCGCGACATCTCTATTGTTAGCTAATAAATGCTGCAAAAAAATATACACATAATTAATATAACAAACAAAGAATGACGTTCTTGACTGCTTCAACTGTATCGACTGATTGAACAGTTTGACACCATATCAGGGGAATGTGTTAGGGAACTCCAGGAACCATAACTACTACATCAGCTATTGTAGTTACTGTGGTTAAGTGTACATTTAATATTATTTTTCAAGGTGTGTAAAGTGTCATTAATGTCTTACTATAAATAGGAACAAGACATAGCGTTAAGCTGCTATGTATTTTACTGTAGAAAGCAGCCCAACATTTTTGAAAAAGCATTTAATAAGAGATGCAAAGATAGATAGGAATACAAATGAAAAAAAAACTATTAATAAAAACTACTATGAAATTCAGAATTTGATGAACAATAAAATCATAAAATAGTAAAAATGTTAATTATCAATATTTTTCATTGAAAAAAAAAAGCAAAACGTCGTGTATGTATGTGTACATGCACTTAAGTTATTTACTTAATTCTGCATTTTAGAAAATCAAATCCAAATGGCAAAATTAGAGATAAAGTAATTAGCTGAGCTGGAGAATTTTAGTCTCAATTTTGTCACTTGGATTTAATTCCCTAGAAGTTAGTTTGGTAAATAAAACTGCTAATTCTAAAACGCATCAGCCTCTACACTTTTCATTTGTATTTTGTAAGAAACCTAATTCTCCATTTTCAAGTCTGAAAAGTCAGAAAAAGGTTTAATGTTATGCATTTACTCGAGCAGTGTGTTCTTTGTAACAATTAATTGTATTAGAACTTTATGTTGACCCAATTGAGCGACTTTCCAAAAACAACTTATTAGAAATCTCTTTGTTTGTTGACTTTACATCTTACTATAAGTGTCTGTTGAAATGAATTTACCAGTACTATTACATCTCCATTTCATGTGGGTTTTCAATGTTAAATGTAAATAAATCACTCAATGTTTAATGAATGTTAGATATTAGACAATGTAAAATGCGTTGGGTGTACAATTTCTTTTTTTTTTTTTTCAAAATACATATTTTAAAGAGAATATATATATGGTAAAAAATATATTAACATATTTGGTTTATAAAATATATATGTACGCAGATGCCATACTCGTTGTCATTGCCATTATAGCAAATATTTTCTAAAATCTGTCATGCATTTCCTGCTTCCTTCTAGAAGTTATGTTCAGCATTTATGAAAAACAGATCTATTTGTCTATACACTAAGAAATAAATCTATAGTATGTTTTCAATCTATTAATGCATTGTATTTTTTGATTCCACTTAAGAATGAATGCATGTTTGATAAAGCAATGGGGGAGATTTATCAAAGTGTTTTGTTCTGAAAAGGAATTTAAAGTGCTAAAAATGGGGCAATGACCATGGAAACCAGGGGAACCAGAACAGAACATGTTGATAAATCTCTCCTATGTGTTTTTGTAATGATTGTGCTAAATGTCTGCTCCATACTCTGCAAAAAAATAAATAAATAAAAAATGATATACTATTTATGGGATAGTTCTCCAGATTGACTTCATAGCCATCATTGTCGTCGGTGAAACAGAGACTATGTTGCTTGTAGATATATTTCTGTGTAGGCATTGTATTGTTCTTGGTGAACATTAAGGGATCAATTTGAAAAGAAAACACATTTCTATAGTTCTATATTGAAAATACTCAATATTGTCAATCCCTCTACACCACCTATTGTGTATACACAATTGCCAGGATATGGAGCCATATCCCGCAATAACGTATACACGATTATAACCATTGCAAATAAAATTTGTTTAACTAAAACAATTTCAGTTTGCGATGGTTGTCAGGACAGCAGAGTCAGTGCTGCCATTCTAGCACCAACGCTGCTGAGCCCCCCCTTAAGCTGCAAGGGCCAGGAGGGAAATATACAGATCTCCCTGCAGAACCATACATTGCTCTCTGTGCAGTCTGCACCTCCAGCTATGAGCAGTTTTCTATTGATGCTCCTCCCTGGTCAGACACCTAAAGGGGGGTTTGCACACCGCCTGAAGCCCAAATCTCACTGGCAGCCTACCAGACAACTTGAGGGAAATTGCTGGACCACTGTGGAATAAGGTAAGCTGCAAAAAAGGTAAGTAGAAGGGGGGGGGATCAGCTAGATAAATAAAACTAGCAGCAATACGTGATGTGGCTATACAGTGAAATACAGCCTCCCAATACACAATCTACCTCCCAACTCAACATGTCACATCACCACACACACACAGTCACATTGTCACACTCATCCATCACACACAATCACCAAGTCACAGTCACCCCTTACACACAATCACCCAGTCATAGTCAACCCCACACTCACACAGTCACTCTGTCACAGTCACACTGCCACAATCGCCCTGCCACAATCACTGTCATACACCCACACAATCATCAACATACACAGGCACTGCACTGCCCCACAAACAGTAACTGTAATACTCACACAGTCTCATCTCACGCACATAATACAGCCCCGCCATAAACCTAAACTCACAGGCACATACATGTTACACAACACCAGACATGCACACACAGGTATGAATACACTCGGCCAGACACATACTGTGGTTGTGTGTCTGTATCTGTCAATGTTTTTGTGTATGTATGCATGCATGTATCAGTGTGTCAGTTTCCAATCTGGCAACATGGGTGAAATGTGAGGGTGATGTGGTATTGGAGAATGTAGATGTGAGCGATTTATAGACTATATGGTGAAAAAAGTCTATTGAGAAATATTTATTTGTTGACAAAACTGTTTTCTTATATATAACTTCATTTGGTACATGATTTTTTAAAGTTTTTTTCTCTCCAACCAAGATTTTCATTTTTCTTTCCATTAAATAATGCTCTATCTATGCATAAGAAAATGTAAACTTTACTTTCCAGAACACCCAAAATGCACCGCTTGGTAATGAACCTGGTTTACTTAAAATATCTCTGCCTCTAATTTTACAGTGAGGTCAAGTAAGATTTTATTTTTAATCTTGTTTGCATAAAATAGAGAAGTCTCCCTCCTATAAGCTGATCAAGAATGTCAGCAATGTATTTTCCTTTTCACAGAGTATTGTTCAAAGACTGAATATACAAAAGGTAGGGACAACATAATTATTTAGTACCAGTAAGGAGAATGTGGAGTACAGGAAGGACACAAATGTATTCAGAGGAGGGCGGGGCCTGGCAGCCGAACTAGCCAGACGTGTTTGCTGAGATTCTATTTCGCTTTCAAAGACGTTGAACAGATAATCAGGAAGTGAAACTTCATTTTCTCATCCCAATCAAAGAGGGAGGGCTTTGGATGCTGGGAAAAACTAGTTTTGCAAAACCTAAAGGGACTGCACCATGGTGTCTTAGCACTATAACCACTATAAGTAACTGTGTTTTGTTTATTGACCATATTGGTTACTGATAGGAAACATCAAAAGGTCCTTCAATGAATGCAGAGACAAATACAAACACTGGTCTTCAAACAGAACAATATTATTGAATATCGTATGGAGAAAATAGCAGATAATCTCCCACTTATATCACTTGTTTATGGGTACATCATGGTATATAGAGCCAAGTGTAGATACACTAAAATCAGTTGTTTCATTGTGTGATAATATACTTGACTGAATCAGCATGATGACCAAGGATGAAGACTTAAAAATATTTTTTGGCTACAGACTGTTTAATATGTATCATCGCTAGCAACTGTTCTTCTTATTGCTTATATAAGTTATTATTATTTTTGCTATTTTATTGATTCCAAATGCCTGCTTAAATGGTTTGTAATCATCCAATACATGCACTCAAGAAACAATTTCATGGTTGTTTTTTTTTATTGAGTCTCTTATTGCACAGTATTGCAATATTTTCCTTCCATTTGAAAAACATTAACTTTATTTAAAAAAAAAAATTGATGAAATAAAACAAATAAAAGAAGAGTAAAATCCAGGCTGCAATTGCCAAAAGCAAATTCACATTTCTTTCTAATACAAAATATATATATATATATACAGACAAATAAATTAATTAATTAAATATGGGTAGTTCAAGCCTAGCCCTCAAGGGTAAACATTTATTTTTCTAGAATAAAATCTTTGTATATTAAAAGAAAATTAGATTGGTTATCTTATGGGTTAATTCAGTAATGTGAGAATTGTTGTGAATTCAAAGTGAATTCAAATAAAATTTTAAACTTAAGGCCAAAGTAGCCAAGTTTCAAAGTTGAAAATAATTTTTTTGTTTTCTAGTTTGGTTGTAATGGCCTTAAATTTGACATCCACTTAGAAATCCTAAAAAATTCTAATTTTAGTGAAGAACTGTATTAGGAGAAAAAAAACTCTACAGAATAAATTAAGCTGGTCCTGATATTTTTGTTAGAACTATAGTATTTATGACCGCTAGGAATGATCACTCATTCTCACTTGGTTTTTACTGAAAAAATAAATAAGTACAAATTGATTTTTCTTTTTCTTCAAATACGAACATTTTGCATACATTTAACCCTTGAGGTCTTACTTGGAATAGACCAATAAACTAAGCACCACTATAACACAACTTTGCCTGTCTCAGTGCATATTACAAGTGATTCACTAATTACTGTTTCCATTTATTTAACCCCTTAAGGACCAAACTTCTGGAATAAAAGGGAATCATGACATGTCACACATGTCATGTGTCCTTAAGGGGTTAATAGGAATTGTGGAGAAATGCAAGAGAATAACACATTTTAGAGCAATACAGGATAGCTTAAATAAACTACAATTTCCAATTTGGCTATGTCAGATTTAAACTTGTTTAAAAAAAATTCTGTTGTATATTTCCTACAATTCCCAATATAATGAATAAAACTCACTGTTGCATTATTTTATTTTTTTTCATTATAATTTTTGTAGAGTTTAACTCAATTACTATACATGTCTATTGGAGAAAAAAAGAACACGTCAACATTACAATATAAACTTTATAAAAGATACTCGTTTTTTAAACCAGACTGGTTTAACATTTTGATACTTTTTATCACTGGTGAACAACAAATCTTACTGCTATTTATCTTTAGAACTTTATTACGTGTAGCTAAACTAATAATGAAAGAAATATTAAATAAATAAAAAAAACAATTGTTTGCTTATTACATCACAGGCCATATCTGCGCTAGTCTGTTATAGCAGGTATGTGGGCATTAAAGGGCTTGAATACATCATCATTAAACCCAAATTGTGTTAGAATGTTGATGTAGAAATATCTTATACCGTAAATAAACACACACTATACCTTGAACCTATGTGAGTGTGTATTTATTATTCAACAAAAAATATAAAAAAAGTCCATATAAAGTGAGGGAAAAAATATTTGATCCCCTGCTGATTTTGAATGTTTGCTCGCTGACAAAGAAATGATCAGTCTATAATTTTAATGGTAGGTGTATTTTAACAGTAAGAGACAGAATAACGAAAAAAAAGAATCCAGAAAAACTCATGTCAAAAAAGTTATCAATTGATTTGCATGTCAATGAGTGAAATAAGTATTTGATCCCCTATCAGTCAGCAAGATTTCTGGCTCCCAGGTGCCTTTTTTTTTTTTACAGGTAACTAGCTGAGATAATGAGCACTATCTTGAAGGGAGTGCTCCTAATCTCAGCTCCTTACCTGTATAAAAGATACCTGTCCACAGAAGCAATCAATCAGATTCCAAACTCTCCACCATGGCCAAGGCCAAAGAGCTTTTCAAGGATGTCAGGGACAAGATTGTAGACCTACACAAGGCTGGAATGGGCTATAAGACCATTGTCAAGCAGCTCTGTGAGAAGGTGACAACAGTTGGTGCGATTATTCGCAAATGGAAGAAACACAAAATAACTGTCAGTCTCCCTTGGCCTGGTGCTCCATGCAAGATCTCACCTCATGGAATTTAAATGACCATGAGAACGGTGAGGAATCAGCCCAGAACACGGGAGGATCTAGTTAATGATCTCAAGACAGCTGGGACCATAGTCACCAAGAAAACAATTGGTAACACTACACCGTGAAGGACTGAAATCCTGCAGCACCCGCAAGGTCCCCCTGCTCAAGAAAGCACGTGTACAGGCCCGTCTGAAGTTTGTCAATGAACATCTGAATGATTCAGAGGAGAACTGGGATGAAGTGTGGTGGTCAGATGAGACCAAAAACAAAGCTCTTTGGCATCAACTCAACTTGCCGTGTTTGGAGGAAGAGGAATGCTGCCTATGACCCTAAGAACACCATCTCCACCATCAAACATGGAGGTGGAAACATTATGCTTTGGGGGTGTTTTTCTGCTAAGGGGACAGGACAGCTGCACCACATCAAAGGGACAATGGACGGGGACATGTACTGTCAAATCTTGGGTGAGAACCTCCTTCCCCCAGCCAGGGCATTGAATATAAGTCGTGGATGGGTATTCCAGCATGACAATGACCCAAAACACACAGCCAAGGCAACAAAGGAGTGGCTCAAGAATAAGCATTTTAAGGTCCTGGAGTGGCCTAGCCAGTCTCCAGAACTTAATCCCGTAGATAATCTGTGGAGGGAGCTGAAGGTTCAAGTTGCCAAATGTCAGCCTCGAAACCTTAATGACTTGGAGAGGAACTGCAAGGAGGAGTGGGACAAAATCCCTCCTGAGATGTGTGCAAACCTGGTGGCCAACAACAAGAAACATCTGACCTCTGTGATTGCCAACAAGGGTTTTGCCACCAAGTACTAAGTTGAAAGGGTCAAATAGTTACTTCACTCATTGACATGAAACTTAATTGATCACTTTTTGACATGTGTTTTTCTGGATTTTTTTTTTTTGTTATTCTGTCTCTCACTGTTAAAATACACCTACCATTAAATTTATAGACTGATCATTTCTTTGTCAGTGGGCAAACGTTCAAAATCAGAAAGGGATCAAATATTTTCTTCCCTCATTGTATTCTGTACTTCATAGTAGTTCTGTATGAATCTTGACTCTTAGCCTCACCATTTTCAAACACTTCTTCCAAAACTTATTTATTTAAATTTTTAAGAATTATTTAAAGCCTTACCCTAATGCAAAATACTTCTAAAGTTACTGAGACCACTTCATCTCAATAAAGTGGTCTGGCTGCAGTGGTCCTGTCATTTTAACCATGCAATGTAAAATATTGCAAGTTTGTAAAAACTGCAATCTTTACATTGCAGGGTGAAAGGACCACTGTAGTGCCAGGAAAACAAAAGTCCTTAGGTCCCCCCCACCCTCAGGGCCCCCCAACTGCTGGGCTGAAGGGGTTAAAACCCCTTCAGCCACTTACCTTTCTCGAGCTCCAGGCTACCTCGGCACTGGTGACCTCTCCTACTGCCTACAACGTCAGCACCGAATGCATTACTCCAAGCTTTCCTATGGACGTCAGCTTCTTCTGACTGATTTTCACAGTGAGAATCACGGAAGTGGCCTCTAGTGGCTGTTAGTGAGACAGCCACTAGAAGCTGGATTAACCCTCAGTGTAAACATAGCAGTTTCTCTGAAACTGCTATGTTTACAGCTGCAGGGCTTAAACTAGAGGGACCTGGCACCCAGACCACTTCATTGAGCTGAAGTGGTCCTTTAAGTACATCATTATTGAATGTCTTTCTGACAGCCACCAGAGATGCTTCCTGCTTCAGAACTGAGTGAAACTTGGTCATGTAATCAAACGCTGCCGATAGCATCATTTGATTGGAGGAGTACAGCGTTTTACCATAGCTTCTCTATGAAAAGCAGCAGGTGATCGCAGAAGATGTTGGCAGGCATGCTGCCATCTTCGAAGACAGAGAGGGTGGCTGCAGCAGCGGAGTCAATGTAAGTAATTTTTTTTTTAAAGGGACACTGTAGTCACCAAAACCACTTTAGATTAATGAAGCAGTTTTGGTGTATAGATCAAGTGCCTGCAGTCTCACTGCTCAATCCTCTGCCATTTTTGTTTCTGTTCAAGCAGTCCTAGCCACAACTCCCCTGGCTGTGACTGACACAGGAAGTGTTTAGGAAGGCTGTGCAAGTCACATGCAGAGAGGTGTGACTCAAACTGAATAAACAATGTGATTTAACTCCTAAATAGCAAAGAATTGAGCAGTGAGACTGCATTGGCATGATATATACACCAAAACTGCTTCATTAAGTTAAAGCTGTTTTTGTGACTATAGTGTCCCTTTAAATGTAATTATTCTAATATCAAAGGGGTGGAAACAGGGGGTACATTAAAGGGAATCTATAGTCCAAAAAAAAAAGGATTGCTTTTTTCAGGACTATACGTTCCCTTTAATAGTCTAGTGATATCTACAGTCTTTCCCACATTTGTTTTATTTGGTATAATTCTAATGCACATCATTCATAATTGTATGCATATTTATTTCAAAGTATATATATGCTCTCTTGGATTATTGAGAATAGGACTCTTAAGTTTATACATACTGCCTTTTTACTTCATTTAAATAGTTACTAATACAATATCTTATCATTCTCATTCCTTCTCCCATCTTTGCTGCCAGGCAGTTCTACTGGTCTAGACCCCATTGTGTTGCCTGTCATGACCCAATCACTCCTTCCTAAATAATTTGCTTGTTTTAACTCCATTTGTCCTGCTTGTCATTTCTACTTGTCTACTAGACAATGTCCAGACTCTGTCTGCTCTGTTTGGTGGTCCTTGTCAAGGCATCATCTCATGTGCCTCACTTTTATTCTCTCTAAAACCTCACATGTGCTGTCCAGCTCATCTATAACATTGTAACAATCGCTCTCGTGCCCATACGTTCTGTCCCCACACAAACGTCAAGCTTCAGATAATCAAATTAGATCAATTGTTATAATGACAGCAATAATGATCGATTTCTGCTTTGAATTATAAATCGTGATGCACATTGTAACTTCTAGAACTTCTGTTTTAAATTATTAACAGTAGAAGGATTATTATGGAGGCCATTATCCAGCTTTATTTATGGGTAGACTAAGGGGAACAAAAATAGGGGCTAAATGTTCTGTGATCCAACAGTAGTATAGTAGCTTTAAAACTCTCATTATACTACAATACACATTTCTCTCCTAGCAAAAATTATTGTATCTCCGTGTGATGGCTTCTATACTTTACTTGTAGACTTTGGAAATCAAATAAAATAACTGTTTGGAGTAAACTATTTTTATATGTCATACTTCTTGCTGCACCTCAAATAAGCCTTCAACTTAAAAAAAAAAAACTTAATAAAATAAATTAAATAAATTGTTTTATGCTATGACAACATTAAAAGATTCACTTCCAAAATATAAGTGCTCTGGCAGAAATGCATAAAGTCTTTTTCTTTAATTTCCCCTTCAAACCTGTTCTGTTGGTGTAATTTGAGAACCACTATCCTGGCATTATCAAAGCCAGTTTGCCACTTATGCAATGCAAGCACAAGCAGCAGAATTGGGGTGATTTAAAATCTAACATTTCAAAAAGATCCCAAATGTTGGCAATTGTAATGTGCCAAAAGCACCATTATTTTGTGAGGAAGGCAAGTGGATATGGCTCAATTCTCCTAATGCTCTGTCTACTTTAGGACTTGACACTTCCATTTGTGCCTGCCGTTCATTGACTCATTTAACCTTTGGCAATCCCACATCTACAATGTTTTTGTCTGTGGTTTAAACACCATGGGAAGTGTTTTTTTTGTATTGTTCTAATGTGTGCTTTGGATGCATATTTCAGCTATGCATTAGAGAGGGACAAATATTCTAATTTTGTTGATATGCATTTGATATAATGTTAGAATAGTTACACTGTCACAGTTCTTCCACTACGTTCTGCACATTCCAGCCCAGGAATTTGGGTGGCCAAAGATTCCGTGCAATAGGGTGCATTTCAACCCACAAAATTACGCATGGCTTTCTAGTTTTTCTCTCAGTTCTTCCGCACACCCAGAGAGATTCATCCTTTCCAGGGCATTGAAGACATGTTCTAAGCTAGTTGATCGTAGATGTCCCAACCTCCTGAGCATTTCATACTGCTGATCTCGAAAGCTGGCAATCTCAACCTCCACCAATTCTATTTCTTTGTCTGGAAGTTCCAGCACCCTCATGAACTCTTTCCATCTTCGTACGGGGACGCTGTCAATGATATCATAGAGAGCGCTGCCTTTGTGGAGAATAGAAGCTGGTTGACCTGGGAACAATGAAAAGTATCAATGTGTCAGCATATATCTGATTGGTACAGTCACTCTTTACACTAATGAATATTTCATGGAGACAATGAATGCAAATCTATTGTGACAACATGTCACCTAGACAAAGGGGATAAACCTTATTAAAAATAGATCATGTACACTGCTGTTGGAGCTGTATTGTTAATAGAGAACTACAATGTTGTCGTTAGTTTAAAATGCAGAATTTGTAAACTGGTTTAAAGTTAAATTGAACCATCTCAGTAGGTATTTACATATTAAATTTGTCCGCAGTGCAAAATTATATATTTTCTTGTAAGTATGTGCGATTAAATAAACTGGCCAATTATCTGCAACAGTCTCTAAAAACTGCTGAGTTGTTGAGCCCTGGCCAATATTTGTTAAAACATAGGACTGGTTTCCATGGTTGTCAGTTGAATGTAGCCCTTAAGCAGTGAGTTTAGGGACAGCAGGTAGGCGATGGCAGCCAAATTAAACTGACTGATGTTGATTCTGTTCATAATTTAGCATTTATGCTTTTGTGACTTGGATGTCAGTAAAAAAAAAAGAAAAAAAGAAAAGTGTGTTTTTAAATGCATTACAGTAGACATTTCACCAGGACAATTTAAAAGGTTTGTTTTGCTTAAGTATGTATTGTAATTATTTGTGTCTATAAATTTCCTGTGATCATGGGCTGGCCCAACAGGGCATATGAAAAAAACAAATCGATCCATCCGATATCTACCTGTGGAGACTTATTTAATGAATAAGAATCCACAGGTAAATCCTTGATATAATGATTTGTTCAGGTGTAGTTTAAAAGGAATTTTGATACATTTGTGGCAGCTGAACAGAATTTGTGCAGAAGTCTAACTTTAGTCATTTAAGCAAATAACGACTTATCAGTAAACATCACTAACAAGTGTGGAAATGAGCCACTAGAGCAGGTTTCCCCAAGCCCCGGCCCTCCAGATTTTGCTGAACTACAACTCCCATGATTCTATGAATGAAATAGATCGGCTGAGAATCATGGGAGTTGTAGTTCAGCAACATCTGAAGGGCTGGAGTTTGGGGAAGCCTGCCCTAGAGTCTTATTTCTTTCTGGTTTTTAGCATAGCTCATGAGAACCCAGGCATCTCTGTCACAAATTAAAGACTATGTCAGCAGCCTTTTTTTTATTTTTTATAATTCTTTATTTTTGTAGTGCATAGATAGACATACAAACTTTTACTGACATAGCATCAAGAGTAAATGTGACAGAGTCATTGCATATATTAGACAGGACATGTCAAGAGACTTGCACTTTTTTTTAGAGAGAGAGTTTAACATCACAAGTGTTTTGCAGTGCAGTGTACAGACAGCGTTTATATAACACATAGAATAATACAACTATAAGTTAGAATGATGGCGCAATAGCTTAAACTGTAAATTATGAGTTTTACCTTGACTTGATTTTGAAGAAATTTGTCCATCAATGTCACACTCTGCACACTGAAGAAAAGTACTTGAATCCTGACAGTTGATGTTTAAATTAGGAACTTTTTCTTGCTACAAAATACAAGACACAAATATGTTTATTAAGTCTTCTAGAAAAGACTAAATTAAAAATATATTTTACAGAATAGTAAAGCAAATAAACACATTGGCCTGTTAACATAAGAATATGATGCTGTAACTATACTTTTGACAAACACATACATAAGCCACCGTGACAGCCATATATATCTGTTGAATATTCAATGGCGGTACAGAAACCAGTCAGACAGATTCTAGACTTTAAAGTGAGTTTTTCACTTAATGGGACTTTAACTTGCTAGAGTGCTTTAAATGTAAAGAGTCTTTCCTATTGTTTAATTTTGCAAAAAAAAATCTGATTTCATTAGAAATTGTCACTTTTATATAATAAGTTGTATTAGTTCAGTGGAGCTAAACTCAAGAAGCAGTTGGTTGCCCAGAGCAGCTGCCTTGCAAAGACGTCTCACTGAGCTGCACTGGGAAGTCTCTGATTGGACAGCAACAGAAGTCTGGGTGGAGTTAGAATGGGAGGGCTTGCAAAGGCTTCAGACAAGATATCTGCAGAGTTTGCAACCTGTTTTCGAAGAAATACATAATTAAATGAATGCATGTTTTCATTGTGGGTATATCTACAAAACTGTGATTTTATTTTTATTTATTTTTTATGTGGGAATTGGAGAGTCCCATTAAAATACATTGAACAAAATTATAAACGCAACACTTTTGTTTTTGCCACCATTTTTCATGAGCTGAACTCAAAGATCTAAGACTTTTTCTATGTACACAGAAGGCCTATTTCTCTCAAATATTGTTCACAAATCTGTCTAAATCTGTGTTAGTGAGCACTTCTCCTTTGCTGAGATAATCCATCCACCTCACAGCTGTGGCATATCAAGATGCTGATTAGACAGCATGATTATTGCACAGCTGTGCCTTAGGCTGGCCACAATAAAAGGCCACAGATTTAGACAGATTTGTGAACAATATTTGAGAGAAATAGACCTTTTATGTGCATAGAAAAAGTCTTAGATCTTTGAGTTCAGCTCATGGGGGCTAAAACAAAAGTGTTGTGTTTATAATTTTGTTCAGTGTATTTCTCTAGTGACCATAAGTGGCACAGCAGGATATTTTTCTTCATATTAGTGCAGCTTCTATAAAATTTGCCTCTTGCTCGCCAGCCTTTCCCTGAGAGAAAAGGCTGTGAGAGTTCTAGAATCTGACAATAGAAAGGAGCATAGTGGCAACTGTTTTACTTTAAGACACTATAGGCAAATTAGTGTAATATGTACTTATTTTGTAAAGGCTGATGTACCTGGTTCTCTCTGTGGCCTTACCCAGTGATCTCATACTGTGACCACTTCCTATATATGCCACATCTATGATATTTTGAATAATAACTGTTTTTATATCAAGAAAGTAGAGAGGTGCTGAGGGGCGGAGGGGTAGTCATGCTAGAGATATGGTGTTTCATTTACTGGACCCTTCTGGAGCCTAATCAACATAGCATTACACCCACAATTAATAAACATACATCTCATACATACATATACATCACACAAATAGACTCTGTTACACATGCATCACGTGCGTTAAGTATTCACATGCATTCCGCCAGTTGCTTATACGCATGTTTTTCTCAGAAATTACTGGACGTTACAATCCTGAATAGCAGCTGCCACAAGTTTAGTAATGGCAGAGATGAAGTAGCTGTCTCCCAGAACACCAAGGACTGTAACTCCCACTAATCTCGGACCTGAAAATAGTGGTAATTACAGTAACCGGGAGAAAGTGACACTGTTTTATTGACAGCTGCTGAAGCAATTGCCTCTGTCCCACATCTCAGGCAGTACTGGGAAATGTAGAACCCTTACACTACACTTGAAGGGACACTTCCCCAAAACAACTTAATCTCAACAGATTTGGGGGTTAAACCAATTGAAAATGGTTTAACTCTCTAAGGATAGAGGGCACCCAGGGACTTAATCCTTCATCACTGAGATGAAGTTGGTTTTGGGGCAGTCTCGTGGTACACCATTAGGTTTATAAATAACATACTGGTAAATAAAATGTCAATTATATAATGGTTAATATAAAATTATGTAATAAATAGGTCCATATGTATAATAAATAAGCCCATGTGATGATGATACATGTAGGAAATGCCTTTATTTATGAATTTATACGTAGGCATTTTGCACAAGAGGCATCATTTGTCATATGTAACTGTATTATTGTAACTTTTAAGAAGCCTCAGAGTTTTTATTTAAATAAAACAAATAACTTTATCATGTTTCTCTCACTGTGACTATACAAGACAGACTGGTTAATTCCTCCCTGATGTTCTGTCCTCCGAGTCATTAGATATGTTTGTGGGAAGGTCCATTGTTGGCAAATAATATGAGCAAGATGATTTCCATGGCTTGTTCATTTGTTCGAACCTATGTAGACTTAGCAAACTTTGCATAAGTCCATGTTTTGTTAGAATGACTCACAGAGAAAGCACTCTTCATGAACTATGAATGAAACCCATATTTAATGCATGCATACAGCCCTGAAAATTTAATTTGTCTGAAAGACCTGGTGTCCTAGCAACCTTTAGGAAACAGAAAGGTAAATATACCTGCACTTTGCTAATCAGACAAGATGTGAATTTAACCTTTTGCATTCTAGAAGCAACAAAAACACATCTTTTTTTTCCAGAAAGGCTGATTCAAACGTCAGCTCCTCTAAAAGCAAATCACATTTAGTACACCAACATATTTATGTTTATATATATATATACACACACACACACGCACACACACAAACACAAACACACTAGCACTTTTCTAATGTCAAATCTAATCGATATTAGTCTTAATTATTTACAAAACATTCAAAATGTATCATTCTTTTCTTTATCTACTAAGAAAAGGTACCTCAGAGAACATATGGTGATATTATATAAATATAAACTGCTCACTGGTAATCTGTTTATTAATAGATCTTAACAAAGGACAGAAGGTCACACATGTATTCTTGAATAAAGGAGATTTCTCCTACTGCCAAGGAAAAGGTTCTTTATCGTAAGAACATTTAAAACATGGAATTATATGTCTAAAGCAGTTGTTTTATAAGATTTTGCACAGATTTTTTTTTAACAACATCTGGATGCTTGAAACAATGTCTCAACATTATTAATGTCATTTTGGAATCAGGAAGGAATATTGTCCCATTTATGGCAACATTATCACTTCCGGTTGTGATTTTTTTACCTTCTTTTGGAACAACAGTAGAACCAGTTGCGTTCAGTTGAATTTAATAAAGGCTTAACTTGATGGGCATGAGTCTTTTTAAACCTATATTACTATGCAACTGTGTCAGATAATATTTTACAAAATAATATAGCTCTACACTACTTGCCGGTCATATGCCTGCAGGATCACCATTCTACACCTATACTGCAATTTTCTACAAATGTTCTAACATTATTACAAAATTCAAATAGTTGGATAAGAAAAGGCATCTCAGAGAGCATATTGTAATTTTATATAAATGTAAACAGCTCTCTGGTAATCTGTTTATTAATAGGTCTTAACAAAGGACAAAAGGTCACACATGTATTCTTGAATAAAGGAGATTTCTCCTACTGCCAAAAAAAGGATTCTTTATTGTAAGAACATTAAAAAAACATGGAATTATGTGCTTTATATCTGAATATTGTGAATGTCATTTTGGAATCAGTTTCCCATTTACGGCAACATTATCACTTCCAATTGTGTTTTTTACCTTCTTTTGGATCAACAGTAGAACCAGTTGAGACTTTTTTTCAACCTACATTACTATGCAATTGTTTCAGATAATATTATACAATCTAACATAGGAGGATCACCATTCTACATCCATACTTCAATTTTCTACAAAAGTTCTGACATTACAAAATTCAAACAGTTGGATATTTAGTAGTGCAATGAATTGGATTAATGGTGCTTACTACTGTGTTCTACGTGTGTGTTCTAAATCAAAGTGTACTTACCAGTGTAAAACCGTGATTTCCTAAAACACAAAAATACATGTATTAGCCCAATTAACCCATTCATTACCATAATAGTGTTTATATACAGAATAAAGAAGATAAATTACATATACATAATTAAAGACATGCTAGTTTGTGATTTATTTGAACTATCACTTGATGTACATTTCAAAAACATAGTTGATGGTGTATTGGCTATATGTACCCTGGTCAACTACAAATGAACCTCAACCACTTAGTATGTTGACCCATCAAATAGGATGGTGTCTCAAAAAGTATATTTTATTTAAGCTATTTTAATAGCTTAAGAGACAGAAATAAAATATCACCTAAATAATAGATATTGTGAATATCTTTAAACCCTTAAGGACACAACTTCTGTAATAAAAGGCAATCATGATGGAATATTTCCGTCATGTGTCCTTAAGGGGTTAAAGGAAATTTGCTAATAGGACAGCAACAGAGAGTACTCTCTCTAGTGTATATCCTCAGGTTTGTAGGTAGATATAGAGAAAATTCTCGCATGTATTATCACCATTTAGTAATCTCCCTAATAGTATATGTGTGCATTAAAAATGTAACATAAGATGACATTAATTAGATATTTAAAAAACAGCAATATTGATTTAAATATTTCATAAAGATAGATTCTTATTAAGGATTATTCATGTTGATGGTCAAAAAACATTATAAGACAAAATAGGGACTAATTTGTCTTATGGATTTGTCATGTGTCAAGGTGACAAACCTGACCAAAGGATGGAGCTGAATTGATGTCACCACTGGTGGATGAAGCTTCAGATAAATAGATTTCCATTCAGCTGCATCCCTTGGCAACGTCACACCAAATGGAGATGCAGTCATTGGGTGTCTTATCAAAATATGGAAAGACCACCGAAGGTGAAAAAGGCAATTTAAATTCGAAATGGAATTACACGTTGAAATTTACCTCAAGAATGGAACAGGTGAAAACAGCACACATCAATCAACAAGCTCAAAAATAAAAATAAAAACACATTATGCTAATGATAGCTATATTTAAAGGAGCACTATAGTGCCAGGAAAACAAACTCATTTTCCTGGCACTATAGGTTCATTAGGTCCCCACGCACCACCCTCATGGCCCCCCTCCTGCTGGGCTGAAGGGGATGAAACCCCTTCAGACACTTACCTTTCTCCAGCGCCAGCTCCCTCGGCGCTGGGGAACTCTCCTCCCTCTGCCAACGTCAGCTCCGAATGTGCATGCACGGCAAGAGTCGTGCGCGCATTCAAACCGCCAATAGGAAAGCATTACTCAATGCTTTCCTATGGATGTCCAGCGCTTTCTCACTGTGATTTTCACAGTGAGAATAGCGTAAGTGCCTCTAGCGGCTGTCAGTGAGACAGCCACTAGAGGCTGGATTAACCCTCAGTGAAACATAGCAGTTTCTCTGAAACTGCTATGTTTTCAGCTGCAGGGTTAAAACTAGAGGGACCTGGCACCCAGACCACTTCACTGAGCTGAAGTGGTCTGGGTGCCTATAGTGGTCCTTTAAATGCAAATAAAAACTCAAAGCACAGAACAATAATTTTGAATACCACAACAATTATCCAGTAAATATTAACTTACCCAGAGATTCTGTCTTCTTTTTTTTATGCTGATGAATGAGAAAACCTCCAACAGGCAACAAAAGGAAAAGTAGAATGCCCGATATTATATATGGCACAGACGAATCTAGACCTGAAGAAGGAAACCAAGAGATCATCACATTGTTGTATAATTATTCACCATTAAATAATACAGCCCATTAGCTACCTTTGGCTCTTAGATGTTTTGTGAATTTTCCACGATGCACAGATAATCTAAAGATCGGCTAAATATCTTGGGAGAAGTAGTTCACAAATATTGAGGGAGCCAAGATAAGCCATCGCAGGGTTAATATTTCTAAGGTCAGGTTTACATACAAAGGCCCCTCCCATTCAAAAGAAGAATATGTTGGTGACATATCTTACTTCAAACATGATAATAAATTAAATAAAATATAATTTCCCTGCTAAAAATAGGTGACAAAAATTCCCGAACAATTCAGCTGAAATAATTGTACATCATGGATATTACTGTATGTTGTGCTGTTACAGATCTTGTTATGAAAACAATTATTATATAAAACGGCAAAAACCATACAGATTGCCAAAACACATTTAAGAATCATGCATGCATATATTGGCTAATGTAATTATATATATATATGTATTGATAGTGACCCTATAGAGTCAAAATGTTGATTTTTGCATATATTTATTAAAAATTACTCAACGGGAAGTCTTAAAAGAACTGACATTTTTTTTTCCATTCATCCATAAAAGTTAAAGTTTTATACTTGTAGTATCACTAAAGTGGCTCTGTCACATTTTTTATCTTCTCCATCTTGCTATATTATGTCACACTGGGCTGACCACTTTTTTGTCTTTAATGTTTCCTTGCAGAGTTCTAAATACTTCTTTCTCTTATGTATAAACCACAGGTTGACAAATGTTGGCACACTCCAAGTCCTTAGTCAACTCTGCCATTGGCTGTCTAACTCTTTAGTCACCTCTGTCCAGCATTGATTTAATTCTTCTCAGCAATGGTCAGAAGTGGGGTCCAGGCACCCCACCTGAACATGTAATCACCAATGATGATTTCAGTGAACTGGGCATGCATGCGATTTGATGCATAAGCCCTAGCAAGGGCAAAGCATCAGATTCCCAGCACGTTCCATGTAGGAATTTGTAAAATTAAGGCTACAAATGAAGATCCAATGTGACTAGCAACACATTCAAAAAGTGAGTAGTACCAACCAAGGGCACGATGCAAGCATTAGGGACTTAGGGGAGCTCAGAAGACCATATGAGAAGCTCAGGGGTGAAGTCAAAAAAGGTGACAGGACTGCTTTAACCTTAGCCTTGACCATGTTTACACCTGTGTAACATGTTTTCCTGAATCTCATTGTAAATGTAGTTTTCAAACATCTGCAGTGTCAAAGTTGGTTATCATTGTCCATAATATTCAACAAACAAAATACACTCACAAACATTAACTGGTGTAGTATTGCCACAAACCCAAAACTGTAGTGCACTGGGGTTCACCCTCAATCCAAATCTGGGATCTTAATAAATCTTCAGAACCCGTTCTCTTGTACTTCAGATAGGGCATGAAGATGATTTTCCTTTTTCCCTAAGATATTCTGGGTCCCACATTGGATATTATGAATTTAAAAATGTTAAGGCAGAGGTAGGCAACATTCAAACTACATTTAAGGCTCTTACAGCCATAAAGCTGGCAAAGCATCAGGGGAGACAAAGGCCACAATATCTGGAGTCCCGAAGGTTGAAAACCTGTGGGTTAACAGATTACCACTACACTGGAAAGAGTAGAAGCAGATTGGGGTGGCTAGATGCCATATTCCTATTAAAGAGAATTTAGATTATATTTACTTATCCCTCTTTTTAAGAAATATATTTGTGAAGCATAACAAAAAAAATTGCATGTAGAAATCTATACCTCTTTATCCTGCAACTGAATACCTTTATCGTATCTCTCTATCATTCTTTTTTTTTAAGTTCTGTCCTTTCATTTAGCAGTCAGCACAGAGAATGTATAAAGAGAAGAGGAGACATTACACACGGTTTCTATTTCTCCTCTTCATTTGAAATGTTTGCCCTGGCTTTGCCTTGTCTGAAATGGATTATGATGTCATTTGCTCAATATTTACTATAATTTTAAAAGAAAACTGAGTTTCTCGTGAAAAAAATAGATTAACACAAATTTTATGTCATTTTCAATGTTTTGTTCAGTGATGTTAATTTAATATATGTAATAGTTCCCCTCTAAATGGTTTCATTCAATGCTTTTGTGGCACCACAATTAGCAGATATATATGGAGCCTCCTGGGTAAATCTGAAATGTTCCCATTCTAGAACTCTCTTTAACAAGTTTTCTGAAAAAAAAATGTGAGCACCGTCTCTCAAATTACAACAGCCTTCAAATCTGACAGTTGGGCTGAAAATACCTTACTTTCTTACCACAAAACAGGAAACCATGCCCATTCTTATACTGCTAAGGGAAGATTTCTGAGTAACTGAACTAAACCATTTCCAGCCATGCTTATGCAATAGCACTGCCTAAATGATCTTACCAGGATTGCTTGCTTTACATATCTTTATACATTCTGGGTTAGTTTCATTCCCACACATATTTTGATCTGATCTGAAAAAAAAGGAAAAACATATCTCTATAAGCAAGAGTTTAGTTGGAGAAGACAACCTACTGAGATTTTGTACTACAAGGGCCTCCACATGGCTACGTACAGTGACGGGACATAGACACACTCTTACACATCTACATTCATACAATATTGACACAATATAACCATGAAGCATGCAATCTGGCAACCCCACCACTAAAGTGAATGGTAATGTATTCATATCTGTGTGTCAACAAGTCATTGGTTTCTCTGGGCTATGTTTCTGTCCTGCTCTTCCCTAAATTAAAGGGACACTATAGTTACCAGAACAACTGCAGCATATTGTAGTTGTTCTTGTGAGTATAGTCTGTCCCCACAAGCTTTTTAATGTAAACACTGCCTTTTCAGAGAAAAGGCAGTGTTTACAATACTGGCTAGAAACACCTCCTGTGGCCACTCCTCAGACGGCCACTAGAAGTGCTTCCTGGGGTAGTGCAGCACACTGCCATTCAGAATCTTTCCCATTTGCTTGGAGGTGCAGAATAATCCTCGTAGAGATGCATTGATTCAATGCATCTCTACGAGGAGATTCTGTTTGGTGCAGTGCAGCATTTTGCCGCGCATGCACAATAACCTCCAAATGCTACTGATTGTCAAGGTTGATTATTAGCACGATCCCAGGAGATTCGCTAAGAAACTGACAGTTAATTCTTCTCAAAAATATTGGTGAATGCCCATATGTGTGCATGATACATCATTAAAGCCATGCCGGTGAAAGGGTAAAAAAAAACACAACAATTCTGTGCTTGAGGGTAGATACACGAGAGACTTTGTAAAGCTGACTGACATTTTGGAAGCTATTTTTGACAAAGCGATATATTATTATGTGTAGTTTGTGTGAACTATTCTTCAAATGTAACACTATCTCTTACTCCAGGCACTTTTGTGTAAAAAATTAACAAATTGACTCTAAGATGGGTTGTAAAAGGGTTAGATTTGTATTTTATGTAACTAGAGCGAACAGTGAGCATTCAAAGTGAACTTCAAATATAAGCCCAAAGAAGCCAAATAGGGACTATAGAGGACAATTGCAAATTTTTACATTTTGGTTACTTTTACCTTAGTTTTGAAATTAATTTTTACATTTTCACTTTTGTCTATAACCCTGCAAATGTGGTGCTGAAATATAAGAAACCCAGTCCAAAAAAGATGGAGGGTCAAAGTTAGACAATTCTGGTGAAGATTATGGAAAGAGCATGTTGAGGACTAGAATAAGCCTTCTGGACCTCTAAAGTGCAGAATGAGATTTGTAGATGCAGATCAGTGGCTCTTTAACTGTTGTTTTTGATAGGGATCCACATTATGTATATTGCACTAGCTTTCAGATCTATTGTTCAATAATAGATCACAAGGAATTACCCCCCATTAAGCAGAGTCTAGGAGTCTAGTCTAACAATAACAGACTGGACAGAATAGACGTATTACTGGTCCTTAGAATGGCTGGATTTCATATACAATAGAGTGAAAGCGTAGTCAAATACAAGCCTAGGTCAGGATAACAGAGAGACTACATATCAAGAACTAGTGGTAGTCAGATAAACGGTATATCAAAAGTACAGGTAAATAATTCAAAAAAAATGCTTATAGAGAAACTCTGAGTCAAGAACTTAGCCAAGGTCAATACCAGAAACATCACAATGTAACAAGGAACGCACTGAAGGGTACTTAGAGCAGAAACCACAATAGGGCACAGTAAGTGGGGCCAGATGAGTTTAAATACTGTTATGTGTGATTTGATTGGACAACGTCATACCTGCGTCTACAAAACATGCGTGAATCGGGATGCTGGACTGACATGGACCAAGCCAAGCTGGAAAGGATGTTACGCCCCATGTTTGTCTTTGAGAATGCGCTACGAATATGTGAATGGTTATTTCGTTCGGTGTGAGGATGGGGTAAGTATTGCTACATAATATAAGATAGGAATTGTACAGAATAGCTTTTATTAGACCTATCACAATCCAAATAATTTCTAGAGAAGTGATGTTACAGTATATAATTTATAGGGGACGTAGCCTGGAATATGAAGAATTGGCGATGTACCTGTTCTTGGGGACCCATTGAGATTAGGATGGGGAGACAAGCTCAAAAATCTACTTAGTGGAAAAAGTTACTCTGCTACATAAATCTCTAGAATGAAAGAATTGGTTTCATTTTAATAAATCAGACCTGATAAAACAATTTCTTTTGCTGGAAACCATTTCCCCATGATAAATATTTTTTTACTTTGTAGTAATGACAAACACATATGTCCAAAAAAAAACTACAGAAGATAACTCCCATTGGTTTATTTACTAAGGTGACTGTAAATTGTTGTCATAGGCCAAATAGCTGAAGTGCAAACATAGGCCTATAGGCCTCAATTTAATATTGTTGGCTAAGCTTTTCACATGATTTAAAAAATGTAGAATTTTTCAAATAAAATTTTCATTTAAATATCAAAATACATTTAAAATATCATATATAAAAATGATATCAATACATCAGAACTTTAAAGTATTAACATACTTTCAAAATATTAAATCATTTTAGTAGATCATCCAAAAATATTAAATCATTTGAAAAATATAAAAATTGGGTGATACTTTGAATCTGGCTATTTTGATCCAAAATTTCAAATGAATTTTCACAATTTGTCAGTAAAATTCACAATATCTCAGTAAAATTTTAATTAGACATACTGAGGGCAGGGCAGGCAAATATTTTCACTTTCGTAGAATCCAGGTAGACAGTCACCACACTGGGCGTCTTCATTTTGGGAGCCTTAAATAGAGAGATAAAAAAGCCAAGTTAGCGGACATTGTATGAACACATATGCATATTCATGAGACCCAACCATATTTTGCTAGGTAATTCCATGTTATTATCATATCATAATATATGTTGAGTCATATCATTTGTTATTATTTATATGCACAGGTCAAAAAGTCTGCAGTGGCAATAGCACTACGTAAAAGATATATATCAGGGAAATAAATAAATAAATATGGTCGTTTATGTGAACCCTTACTGCATGTTTTCAGTCTAAAAATACACATTACTGATATATATATGATAGTGTCCATGCTCTTCTTGGCTTGACTGATCTCATGAAATGACACCAGATAACCTAATTACTGTAACCGCAGAATAAAAAAGGCTAAGGTGTGAGAGATGATTAATCAAGTGGTTGGCCAATTCATTGTTGTTAGTTTGCATTAATTCACTGTTTTGTGTTTTTTCTTATCTGTAGCTCAAACATCCTGGATGTGTAGCAACTAGTTACAGTAGGCACCCATCAGTATTTCCCAAGAAGAGATATTCTACATATTTTTCTACTGAAGCAGTGATTGACAAGGAGATAAGATGGAAGCTCACAGTTGCAGAAAAAAACAGGTGTAAATTTCAAAATTTAAATATATTTTTCACACGTCGAAAATATATATTTGTGGAATAAGTAAAAACAATATTTAAATAGTATCAGTTCCTCTTTAGTGTATTGTTTATCTACCTTGCACACAAAATATATTTATAAAGGAACAATCTGAGTAGTTCTGGGTGCAATGTGCTATTTTTGCAATAACTGTAAAATAAAAAAATATACATATTTTTACCAGAATTGTTCTAATTCTCTCATATTTTATAAATATGATTAGATAGACAGATTTTTTTCCAATTTCAGCATTTTAGGTAACATTTTACAAATAGTTTTTTGCCTCAACTTGCTGTTTAGTGAATAATCACTTAAAAGACATAGGACTTGGCATAAAGTCAGTGGAATATGTCAAGTTCACTCTGACTAATTTAGTAACTATGTTATGTTTTGTTTTTGCTAGCTACAAACCCACAGATTTAGAGAGGCACGCGTGTACTCTAGAAACATGATGTCATGATTTCTCTTTTGTAAAATTCATTATTTGCATATTATACCAGAGGAAATGAATCTAACGCGTGGAGTGAGTATATGGGGCAGAGCTAGCACAAGTTTCCTAATGACCTATACATTTGCTTGTATGTCTCCCACTGAAGACTTTTCTTTTTTTGGTAAAGATTTTATGTCCTCAGTTTGCTAATCTCAGAGGGAACAAATGCATCAAACTACAAGGGTTGTACAGACACAAATGGTACGCTTAAAAAAAACCTGTGCAATTGCGCTGTTAGTACAAATCAAAATATATGTTTATTGACTTAATTAAAAATATAATTTTGGTTTTAATTTACTCAATAAATATATTTTATGATTTGTGCTAACATTAGTATGACCGTACAGTTTTCTTTTTAGTTTAATCACAGTTTAGTTATAGTCACCCACCTTCGGTGTGGTACGCAGCTTTCCAAGTGTTGCGTTTTATGTATATATATATATATATATATATATATATATATTATTGTTATTTTTATTTGTTATAACTGCCAGTGTCGTTTATCTATTTTGCCGTTTTTATACCGCCATGAGGGTAAGGTTAGAATACATTTATTTTGAGTTTGTTTACAAATGGTACGCTATCATTGGGAAGGTTGCTGAAAGCAGTTAAACTGAAATAGCTAGGGGGGGGTTTCACACAGTTCACAAAAATACCTGGGGGATCTGCCACCCAACCCCTTGCTTTTTACACCATTGATGATAATTATTCAGTGATGAATAGGAATCAGATTGTTCAGTCTATAGAGATGTCCAGAGCAATGAGTTGGCCTATCCCTGCTTACGGTAGTATATAGCTGGTATTTGTGGCATTGATGGCCACATTTGGCACTGTACAAGTTTGTGAACTTCATTCCCCTATGATTTTCAACCAGTCAAATATCAGCGGGACCAAGTGTTGCCATCACTGTATTAATGAGTGCAATGTGTACAGCCAAGAAAGCTTGATACTTTTTATCACGTAGATCATGCGCTATTTTGCTAGAACTTTATTTTCTAGATTTCTATCCAGAAGCAAGATTTTCTAGAATAAGCCAACGTTGTAGAAAAATACAATACACAATATAATATTTGGTTAGTTAGTGTCTCAATGGTAATAAACTTAATTTACTGTCTTGTGTATCATTAAAATACTGTCCAAACAGTGACAAGTTCTTGTACTTCTATTTTGGAATTTATTTTGGTTTAAAGGGTACAATCTGTAAGGGTATAAGAAACAATGGAGGACCCAGTAGCAGAACCACCCATGTACGGCATTACCACAGTTTAAACGAGGAGGAGGCAGGTCTAAATAAACAATACAAATTTGGGCTTTGTAAATGAAATTGTGTCAGATGCCTTAATGCTGCCAATATTATCAAATTCCCTAGAATAATGAACTGATCAGTAAGTCAATCATGAATGAAGCAACAGACATAACAGGTTGACTACATGTTCTATATATCAGTAATATGGCTATGCTCTCTCTCTCTCATATTTATTATATTTTATATGATTAATTGAATATTACACAGATACGTTACCAGCCAACATACTGTCACGTATTCATCCGCTTATAAAAATGTGGTTAATGACATTTACTGTCCACACAGGAAAAGTTGTGCTGAGCAGCAACCTAATCCACAGAAGTGTTAATGCTGAGCAGCAATTATGCAAATGGAAACCTGGTAACTGCCTTTGGGGTCAAAGGCCGGTTACAACCAATCAGATCCACAGGCGGGGTATTTAGGCCCAGTTCTCATCCTGCTCAGTGCCCTGTTGTGGTTTCCCTTGTGGTTGTCTGAGAGCGCGTTATTGATTCTGGTAATTCTGGTTATTTGACTTTGGCATTGTTTTTGACTTCCCTGTTTTCTGGCATCCCTGACTCCTGGCTTTTCCTTATCGTTGTGTCTCTTTCTGTTTCCCTTGACCTCAGCTATTCCTGACTATTCTTTGGTACGTTAGACCAGCCATTCTAAGGTCCGGTATACGTTACCTATCAGCCCTCTGTGTTACACAACTCTACGTGCTGGATCATACTGTAATACTAACACATACATACATACACACATACATTAATCAGGATATTAAAAAACAACAAATAAAAAATCCATTGGACTAAAGGGGTAGCATGCCTACATATCCTTAATGATTATCTACTTGTCTTGGCACACAAAATAATTTGTGTGCTGGCTGTGTGTAGTGTATGATGTGTGTAATGTGTGCTGGCTGTGTGTAATGTGTGCTGGCTGTGTGTAGTGTATGGTGTGTGTTGGCTGTGTGTAATGTATGGTGTGTTGGCTGTGTGTAATGCATGCTGGCTGTGTATAATGTGTGTGTGTTGGCTGTGTGTAATGCATGTTGGCTGTGTATAATGTGTGTGTGTTGGCTGTGTGTAATGCATGCTGGCTGTGTATAATGTGTGCTGGCTGTGTATAATGTGTGCTGGCTGTGTGTAGTGTATGGTGTGTGCTGGCTGTGTGTAGTGTATGCTGGTTGTGTGTAATGTGTGCTGGCTGTGTGTAGTGTATGATGTGTGTAATGTGTGCTGGCTGTGGGTAATGTGTGCTGGCTGTGTGTAATGTGTGCTGGCTGTGTGTAGTGTATGGTGTGTAATGTATGGTGTGTTGGCTGTGTGTAATGCATGCTGGCTGTGTATAATGTGTGTGTGTTGGCTGTGTGTAATGCATGTTGGCTGTGTATAATGTGTGTGTGTTGGCTGTGTGTAATGCATGCTGGCTGTGTATAATGTGTGCTGGCTGTGTATAATGTGTGCTGGCTGTGTGTAGTGTATGGTGTGTGCTGGCTGTGTGTAGTGTATGCTGGTTGTGTGTAATGTGTGCTGGCTGTGTGTAGTGTATGATGTGTGTAATGTGTGCTGGCTGTGGGTAATGTGTGCTGGCTGTGTGTAGTGTATGGTGTGTAATGTATGGTGTGTTGGCTGTGTGTAATGCATGCTGGCTGTGTATAATGTGTGCTGGCTGTGTGTAGTGTATGGTGTGTGTTGCTGTGTGTAATGTGTGCTGGCTGTGTGTAGTGTATGGTGTGTGCTAGCTGTGTGTAATTTATGCTGGCTGTGTGTAGTGTGTGATGTGTGTAGTGTATGCTGGTTGTGTGTAATTTGTGCTGGCTGTGTGTAGTGTATGATGTGTGTAATGTGTGCTGGCTGTGGGTAATGTGTGCTGGCTGTGTGTAATGTGTGCTGGCTGTGTGTAGTGTTCTCTTCCTAAGCATTTTTGAAGGAAAATATATTTGCATCATTCTTACATTGATTGAGGAAGAAGTAAAGAGGGCGCTGACACATTTAGTGCATTGCCGGGGTTATCTGGAGGCTGTTCTATCAGCTTACAACATCTTATATAGTACAAATAGTAATTGTTACTTTACCTATTGTATGTGGGAAAATAGCCCACATACTGATAGAATTTTACAATCTGTTGGCATTTTCATGAAGCTGCATTGTTTTTTTAACACCATAAGTGGTGCACTCAACCATTTCTATATTCCCGTTTTTGTCAGGTCTACGGTATTGTGACAAAATCTTTACTTCGGCCACTATGCTAATATTTCTAAACCTCCCTGAAATATTTGCAAAGGTAGCATTTCACAACTGTCTCATATTTGTCAAGTAAAACTGAATATCAGGTTCTAATTGTGTAATTATTATAAAAACTCCAAAGGCATGATAATAGAAATTTTATTTTATAACATCTTTCTAAGGAAATAAATGAATACATTTGAAATCAAATACCCTACTCTGACCACTGGGTGGCAGCAAACTACTTAGACCAAAAATCAAAAAGTTTGTTTCCGTTTATCGGCCACATTTAGAGCCTGTTGCAAATGTCTGATTTTATGAAAAAGTAATCTAGTTATTGTTTGGACATTTACATGTAGACACAATTTCCATACTTCACAATATCCATGAAAAATGCTCCTGTGATTTGTTGAGTGTGCATTTCTCCTACATCTTGTGCAGAGGAAGTGAATTCCCAATGCACTATTTTAACAGCAGCAAAATGCAAAATTGTGGTTTTCCAAAATGCAATATCATCCTGCCCTAAGCTGATGTAAACTTTGAGCCTGGAAAAAAAAAATATCTCGATTCCAGACGTTCTAATTCACACTTACAGGGTTATTCACTAAAGTCAGAATTCAAAGTGAATTTAAAATTTAAAACCAAAAGCAGCCAAACTGAAAGCATTGGTTACACAATCTGGATAGAACAACTGCACTTGGATCGGATGACATCGTCCAGGAACGCGGTGATTGGACGTGTAACGTAACAATCAACCAATAAGGATGGACAGATGGATTTAAAAAGGAAACTGGATCTGTTGGACATTACATATATTGATAAAGCCATTCTAACGGCGAAACGCGTCTTGGGAGTACTGCTGGAGAATTTGATTTCGACATTATTTCAATATTTGTTTTATTGCTTATTTGAATAATTATATTGTAATAAATTGTTTATTTTAGATCCTTGCTGTGGACTCCATCCAACTATTTGGTCCAGGTCCCCTATACAGACACAACTGTCTACATACTAGGAGCCAGGTATAGCAGGCTCCATAAACAATGAGCAGTTTGCAATTCTCTGTATTCTGCAATTTAATTTGCATTCTGCACTAGGAAATTCTCCAAATGTTTTCCTTACAAGCTTAACAAGACACAGAGGATGAGGGACAGTGTCACCTAAGCACATATCTCTTTATGAGATCTGATCCAGTCCCTAGTAGGCTCTGCCAAACGTGAGTGTATCCAATTAAAGAAATAGTCACAGAAAATATTGGTCATATTGCACTATATATGTCTTTATTTCTATAGGTTGCACATCTTTACCCTTACTTTAAAGGTAAGTGTCACATTTTATAGCATTTTTGACTTGGTGGGTGTATATATCACACAACCGAAAGCATAGCTGACTTAGAATTACTTTGAATTCTAACTTTAGTGAATGCCCTGTTTAGTAAGTAACGTAATAAGCTAAGGTACTTGACTTTTTCTACTTTTATTTTCCAAGAAAGTCTGTATTTTATATTAACCTCATTTTGTGGATTTTCAGGTGGTATTACATGGTACGAATGGAGAAAACTAACATCTACATGTGTACTTGGACATGAAAAGTGGTACCAGATTAGTATCCAAATACTTTGGATTTACATCATGATTAATTATTTGATTTCCCTTATATATCATATTCATTCTACATTCTCCTTGGCAGACCTTTTGATGCTCAGAATGAAAACTCTCTTTTTACTTATTTCAACACTAATTTGTCATCCCCCCCCCTCAATCACTCTCAGGGTTTAATAAACAAAAAAATTAGACTATTCGATTGCATGGTCCATATATAGCATTTACGTACAGTTTCTGATTATGGCTCTGTTCCTGCAGTTCGTGCACAGTCGGCAGAGTTTCGCTTCATCTCGATATCTTCCCTCTTTACAAACGCAAACTGTGTCACTAGTGGCTGAGCATTTACTCTGTAACACCTCTGTACCTGCAAGGAAAGCAAAAACATAATGTAATAATACAAGTATATTTAAATTAAAATAAATACATCTATGCTAAATAAAATAAAAAACAGATAAATCTTGTTTATCAATGCTCAATTCTATATTGCACAGAAAAGAGCAACAGTTTTAATGAACGATTAAACAGTCTGCTCATTTGTGGGTAACTTCCATTGTGCCTTAATGTATTAAAAACATTGCAATTGAAATGGTCAATTTAGGGAAGAGTGAAAAGAGTTTCACTCTTTGGTTTTGCACTCCTCCCTGTCACAGGTGCCTCATCCCAGGGCCCTATTTAGCCTTGTACTGCAGAGAGCCCCAGATGACATTTCCACCCCCAAGTAAGTGGGTTAATCTCATAAGAGCAGACATTAGGCTGTTAGATTAGGACCTGCCAAAGATGGGGTACATTGACATTGTGGTAGCCTTTTGCAAGGCAAGGGGGGGGGTCTTATCTTATAGTTAGGCTCATCAGGGGGGGTCTTATCTTATAGTTAGGATAGCCTTATGCTTATCCCACGCATGCTTAAACTCCTTTACTGTGTTAACCTCTACCACTTCAGTTGGAAGGCTATTCCATGCATCCAGTAATACTTCCTGATATTATTTTTAAACCTTTGTCCCTCTAATTTAAGACTATGTCCTCATGTTGTGGTAGTTTTTCTTCTTTTAAATATAGTCTCCTCCTTTACTGTGTTGATTCCCTTTATATATTTAAATGTTTCTATCATATCCCCCCTGTCTCGTCTTTCCTCCAAGCTATACATGTTAAGATCCTTTAACCTTTCCTGGTAAGTTTTATCCCGCAATCCATGAACCAGTTTAGTAGCCCTTCTCTGAACCCTCTCTAAGGTATCAATATCCTTCTGAAGATACGGTCTCCAGTACTGTGTACAATACTCCAAGTGAGGTCTCACCAGTGTTCTGTACAATGGCATGAGCACTTCCCTCTTTCTACTGCTAATACCTCTCCCTATACAACCAAGCATTCTGCTAGCATTTCCTGCTGCTCTATTACATTGTCTGCCTACCTTTAAGTCATCAGAAATAATCACCCCTAAATCCCTTTCCTCATATGTTGAGGTTAGGACTCTATCAAATATTCTGTACTCTGCCCTTGGGTTTTTACGTCCAAGATGCATTATCTTGCACTTATCCACATTAAATGTCAGTTGCCACAATTCTGACCATTTTTCTAGTTTACCTAAATCATTTGTCATTTGGCTTATCCCTCCTGGAACATCAACCCTGTTACATATCTTAGTATCATCAGCAAAAAGACATACCTTACCATCAAGACCTTCTGCAATATCACTAATAAAAATATTAAAGAGAATGGGTCCAAGTACAGATCCCTGAGGTACCCCACTGGTGACAAGTCCAAGCTTCGAATATATTCCATTAACTACAACCCTCTGTTGCCTGTCACTCAGCCACTGCCTTACCCATTCAACAATATTGGAATCCAAACTTAAAGATTGCAGTTTATTGATAAGCCTTCTATGTGCAACAGTGTCAAAAGCCTTACTGAAATCTAGGTAAGCAATGTCTACTGCACCACCCTGATCTATAATTTTAGTTACCCAATCAAAAAAATCAATAAGATTAGTTTGGCATGATCTCCCTGAAGTAAACCCATGTTGTCTCTGATCTTGAAATCCATGTGTTTTTAGATGTTCATCAATCCTATCCTTTAACATGGTTTCCATCACTTTCCCCACTACTGAAGTAAGGCTTATTGGCCTATAGTTGCCCGACTCCTCCCTATTACCTTTCTTGTAAATGGGCACAACATTCGCTAACTTCCAATCTTCTGGGACTACTCCTGTTAACAATGATTGGTTAAATAAATCTGTTAATGGTTTTGCTAGTACACCACTAAGCTCTTTTAATAGCTTTGGGTGTATTCCATCAGGTCCCATTGACTTATTTGTCTTTACTTTTGACAATTGAAATAGAACCTCTTCCTCTGTAAACTCACGTGTAATAAATGACTCATTTATCCTTTTTCTCAACTGAGGTCCCTTTCCTTCATTTTCATCTGTAAATACAGAACAATGCCATTGGACCGTGTGATGCACCTGTGATGGCCGGTGTTCTATTCAAAGAGTAAATCTCTCTTATTGCAGCTTTTACGGCAAGCTGAGGGGGGACCTTTACTGTGTAATATGCTCTATTGAGCACTATAGTTACGGTCCCCCCTCAGCTTGCCGTAAAAGCTGCAATAAGAGAGATTTACTCTTTGAATAGAAAGCCGGCCATCACAGGTGCATCACACGGTCCAATGGCATGCGTCTCATATGACAGTCTGTGATAGCACTATTTTGCTGGCTCAGAGAGCATGCGCGCGCTCTAAGTCAGTGAGGGAGGGAGGGAGGGAGAGAGGAGGAGTAGGAGTCTTTTTGTTTTCCTCTGGAGGGAACACAAAGTTGAAGGAAGGTGAACACTATATTTCCCTTGCAGGCGTTCTGCCTGAAGGTGGAAGATTTTTGCGCCTGTCAGCAGCATGTAGTGCATGCTGAAGGCTGGTGTTTTTTATGCACAGAATTGACATTAGGCTGCCTATGTCATGTGTGCACACACAAGTGCAGATTCTCAGTATGTGCAGTGTTTCACTGCAGACTCATATCACCATGACCACTTAAAATCACTGAAGTGGTCATGGTGCTTGGAGTAACACTTTAAGTGCCTATTTACATACAATAACTTTTGCCATTTAATAAACTATAAACTAGTAAGATTGCATTGTTGGGCACACCTCTCAGCTAGGAGCGTTCAGCCTCTCAAAATGACATATATCCCAAGAAATTGCCATTGACTGTCCTCAAATTTATTGGCAAGAAGTCATAGTAAGAAGGGAGAGGTTGGATATAAAGATGATTTATTTTTACTAAAAAAACAAAACTATATATAAATCTACCCCCCTATCCCCACACACAATAACTTTCACATTCACACACACACTCACACACTGCCCCCACACACATTGCTTGTCCCATACAAACACTGCCCCACACACTGTACCCATCACACATACTGTACCCCTCTCACACACACTGTACCACTCTCACACATGTTGTACCCCTCACACACATGTTGTACCCCTCACACACATGCTGCACCCCTCACACACATGCTGCACCCCTCACACACACAATGTACCCCTCACACACACACTGTACCTGTCATGGCACACATAGTGGGTCGCGGCATACAGGGGAAAGAGCACAGACTTGGTCCATCTCCGGCAGATGGACCAAGCAATATCTGTACCATGACCCCCACACTTCCCTAGGATTCCCTTATGCTGTCAGAACCCTGCAGAGTTCATAATAACTTGCCTGGACACAGTACACCCTCCCACCCACATAGGGTATATGGACAACCAGTCACCTAGAGAGGCTTCTCTCTTATATAGGTCCTTAGACCCCTCCTAATAGGAGTGCCCTCATTCTCTTCTCCCTATATAAGTTCAGACCACCCTTGGTTCTGTGCTCACCCTTGAAGTACAGAGCCAGCTCCTGAAGTGAGTTAATTACCTTTACCTGTGCATTTATTCCTGTTTACCTGCAACTTTGATTCTACTTTGATTAACCCCTGCAACGCTGATTCTACTTGGCTTGACCCTTGCAAGGCTCGTTCTACTTTGATTTATTTCCTGCAAATTCTATAGAGCCTTCAATCAAGTTTGTTTTCGTTCGCCAAGTGATGGAACTTTGGTAAAAGGACTTAATTTTCGTAAAGACTTTTATTTTATCATTTAAGGAATTGCTTTGCTTATTGTTTATGTTTGCATTGGAATTTGCATCATATTAATCTGCCTTTCTAAATAAAAGATCTGTTAATTCAGTGACTGTACCCATATACCTCTCTTCATACTGAGCCCATTCACCCCAAACCTGTGGCTGTACCCTTCACACACACATGCTGTACCCCTCTCACTCACACCACCCCTCACACACACAAACTGCACCCCTCAGACACACTGCACACCTCACACACAAACTACACCCCTCACACACACATTGCCCCCTCACACACAGACTGCACTCTTCCACACACATACACTGCACCCCTCGAAGCACCCTACACACACTGCACCCCTCACATACACTGCAACCCTCAATGCACCCTACACACAACCATTACACCCTTCACACACATACACATTGCACCCCTCACACACACACAAACATTGCACCCTTCACACACTACTGCTCCTATCCCCTTCTACAGGCCCTATCCCGACAGACTCCAGGAAAGTTGTTAAACCGTTCAAAATGGCTTAACTACTTATTCTGGGATGGCACCATGGCATTCTGGACACCATAACCACCATAATTTATTGTGCCTGGATTGTTCCTTTAAGATTGTTCCCAAGATTGGGTTCTGGATCCGCCCCTGGCTGGGAGGAAGAGATTTGATATCACATTCTCCCAACACTGCCTTACAAGAGTGTTGAGGGCACAGACAGTATAGGCCAGTAAGTATCATGTTGTGCAAGAATTCCACAACGTAGTCCTGGTTAGAGGAGATATTTATATCTTGTGAGCATTACTGCATATCACAGCAGGGCACCACGCAGGGTACCATGCATTGGTAACCAATGCCTCTTAATGGGTTACTGGCTGTACCCCCTGTTGGTTCCCCTACGTAGTGATGTTTTCTGATACTTACTGTCTCATTAGAAGATTGCTCGCTTAGATTTCCCATAAGACAAACTGGTCCTGGTTTTTGCAAGGTACCACAATATTTAAACAATATTTGTTATATTTTGCCCAAGTATACACTTGCTCCCCTCCCAACAGTCCATTCCAATTTGTCTTTGAGATTACTTATTTTTCCAAAGTGACAACAGGGCAGGTATTGCATTTTGTTCAAGTGCCATATCATTTATATCCTTCCTCGTGTTCAAATACTGGTGAACAAACCTTATGATTCCAATGGACCCATTACCCTTGAATTTAACCTACTAATTGTGCATTTTTAATGTAATGTCTTTTTATACCTTTGTCACAATGTCTACACATTCTACATTCATATACGTAGTTAGGATAAGCAAGGTATGTTTCCAAAACACAGGGTTCACATTGGGGATCTTGCCCAGGAGCCTCGCATGAGGCCTTGACGTATTTACCTGAAAAACATTTAAAGGGTTTATTAATAACAGCTAACATAATATAATACATATAATAATTATTAAGAATAATAATACAATTACCTCATTTATATCAAGAGCCTGTGATCCTGGCAGTGATTTAGAATTGACCATAAACATATTGTCATATACCTCATTGATGTTACTGGTTAGAATCATATTATTATTATTATTATTATTATTCCATTCTATAGTTTCCTCTTATAAACTATAGTGATGTCTACATTTGACTCATTCTCCCACTGAGATCTAGAACAGCAAGGTTTATCTTGCACCATCTGTATTTTTGGCTGACTAAATAAACATCGGGTTTTCTGAGGTTTACATTAAATAGATTTTGGTCACAATGGTTTTATATATTTATATACATAGTGTCATGTCAACTGCTACTGCTTTTATTAATGAATGATATCCGATCACCAACAGTGGTACAAGACTGCCATTCTGGATTTCTTCAGCTGGTGATCTTCACGCTTTCGTAAATGCACTGCAATGGTTTGATTTGTATGCCTTTATCCTGCACACCCCTATACATAGGGGTTTATGCACTAAATTACAAATTATAGGGAATTGACAAGTTAAGGGAACATTTTTGGTCAAAACAGTCAAGCTCGAAAAATAGTCAAGTTGGCTTAAATGTCATGGTCAATTTTGTTTCACTGATCTCTAAATAAAGAAACAAAAGAAATGATTCGTCCATTGTCCATTTTGTTTGTATGTTGATCCATCCATATAGCGTTTCGGAGTTCCGGATTTGAGACGAGGCAGGCAAGTGCCCAGAGCACCTGCCTTGCTAAGGTAAAGCTGACTTTGTGCACTGTGGCATGTCCCCTTTCTGATACATTGACTACATCCACCTTTTTATCTGTCCCAGACTGCATATCAGGAGCTTCTGCCTACTAGTAAGGAGGGAAAAAGAGAAGTGGAAAAGTGAGTGCTGGAGGCAGTGTCCAGAAAGTGTAGAGTGAGTGAATTATTAGATTCTTGCTCTCCATAATCAGGGTGATGAAACTGTGCTGACTGCATTGTCCACCTTTAGCTGGTCCTCCTGCATGATTGGCAGGCAGCCTGGCAACAGTGAAGGAGCAGCATCTGGCGGATGCTAGAGGTAAAAAGTCATGTCTCCCAACAATGTGGTGGGGGCGGGTGGCAAGCACCATAACAACCACAGTAGTTTGTAGTGGTTAACCCCTTAAGGACACATGATGGAAATATTCCATGATGCTAGCCTTTTACTTTTGAAGCTGTGCCCTTAAATTAAGGTACTTTATTTTATTTTTTTAAAGCACATTTTATTAAAAAAAAAATATTTTTCATTCCCCCACCCCTTCTAAAAACAATAGGGGGATTTATCAAGTAGAAAGTGCTAAATGTTCAGATAGATTCTATTGGTTTTGTTTTCATGGTGATCACTCCTTATTTAGCATTTTGTCCCTAGCAGCACCTGCTTGAGACATGATAAATCTCACCAAATTATTGAGAAATGTAATCCATAAATATCTGCTGTGCTGAGATCACTTGTTATAGTTCAAGACAGATTCAAAAGATAACTACTTTTTACTTACCTTTTCTTAAAGAGACACTGTTATTTAGTTTTGAGTAATCGTTGTTTCTGAATGTATCATCTAGATCAGAAATGATTTAAATAACAACTTTTGAGGAAATCTCACTCTAGAGACTGACACATTTGTTGCGTTTCTTCAAGCAGGAGGCAAAATTACAGAATCAGCACTTTGTTATTTATATGTTGAAATAGAGGTATAGCACTAGAATGAAAAACTGCTGATTGTCTTCACCCAAATATGAATTGCCATGAATTCACTAGAGAATTTCAAATTAAATCGGCACTGTCACCCCCATCAAAAAAATGACTATTTCATAAAGATAGAAATTCCAACCCAGCTAAGAGATATACTGAGACAAAGTAGGTGCTATTTTGTATTATTCCTCTGCCTGACTTTCTCAGACATTGGGGGGAGCTACAGTGTCAATCCCCACAGCCATCACCAATGTCAGCAGTAGTTTATTGGCTTAATCTATGGAGGTCTCGCAGAATTCTCCATAGATCCCAATGCTGCATAGCATCCATGTGTGTTTCAAATAATTTTTTTTTAAAGTGGCATCTCTTTAATTCTCTTATAAGTTTCTGTTGTGAAGGGTACCTCACCTTGAAAGAGGATGTGTGTCTATAATGTCTCAATGCACTGTGAAGAGGATGGTTCTAGTGGCCCAAAAATCTCTGAAGAACACAGCTAGATAATTGCAGAAGTTACTTGCGTTTTGGGTACAGAAAGTCTCCAAAACTACAATCGGACTTCACCAATATCGCCACAAGTTCTTTGGAATGGTTTCAAGAAAAAAAATACTCTACTCTAATTCATAAACAAACTCAAGCATCTGGCAGTTTGCCAGGCACCACTGGAACTTCAAATGAGATTGGGTTCTATGGTAAGATGAAAACAAAATAGAACATTTTGGCACACACACAGAGGTGGTCATGTGGAAAAATACCTCATGCCCACAGGTAAATATGGTGGTGGCTCTTTAGTGTTTTGGGGATGCTTTTATGCCAGAGGACCTGGGCATTTTGTCAGGATACAAAACATCAACAGATATTAAATACTTTACTGCCTCTGCCAGAAAGCTTAAAATGGTCCAAAAACATACATAAAAAATCACAGACAAATTGTTTACTGACCACAAAGTCAAGGTCCTATCGTGGCCATCCCACTCCCCTGACTTGAACCCAATAGAAAACCGTTGGATTGAACTGAAGAGGAGAGTCCACCAGTATGGACATTGAAATGTGAAGGATCTGGAGAGATCCTGTATGGAAGAATGGTCTCAAATCATTTGACATGTATTCTCCAACCTCATCAGCATTATTAGAGAAGACTCAGAGCTGTTATCTTGGTAAAGGGTGGCAGCACAAGGTATTGACTTAAAGGGTGCCAGTAATTGTACCAAACATATATTTAACAAAGATTTCTTTTTTTGCATAAACCTGTGTTGTGTTTACAATTGCTTGCTATTTATAAGTGTGGAGCATTTTTATGTATTTTTTGAAGAAAAGATCAAAAAGCTAAACAATAAAGACACATTTTCACAGAATTCTTTGCTAATACTTACCAAGGGTACCAATATTAGTGGAGGGCACTGTATATATTCTATATTGTTGAAAAGTAATACATATGTGTTCCACATTATAAATTTCACACAAACTGTCATAGAGTCTCTGTATTATACGGACTTAAAGGGGAGAAAAACTGTCTCTATAATATTTTTTATTATATAACATCTTCCGTCACATATGTGGTTACTTGCAAAGATCATAGAAACTCATCTCACAAGCCAGTACTAAGAAAGATTATGTTTCATGATTATAACGATGGCCTACCTTGGGAAATGCATGTAATATACACAACTGGTAATGTCAGCTCTGTTCAAATAACAGGAACCGACATTAGTAAAAATCCCTCATATTTTTTATTTGATAATCTGTTAATTTCTTTAAAAAAACGCATATTTACCTTCACTGTGTGGACATTGGAAATTACATTTCTGAACAAATACTGCTGAATCCCTGGTGTTTTAAAAATTAATTCATTTATGCTCTTTATTATTATTGGTATTTATATCGCGCCAACTTAGTCCTCAGCGCTTTACAATATTACATAATACTATAACAGGATAACTAATCACGTGTTTTAGCTGGAGAATTTGAATTTAAATGCCCTCATTGCCTTATTGTCAACATAGGGCATAGATTGTGGGTGCCCCAAGACTCCTGTTTTTTGTGAAACCTCTTGCAAACAGTGACTGTACCCATCGCTTCCTCACACAATAGCCACTACAACAACTTATGGTGTTATGGGCCTTATATTGCCACTAAGTAAGATGTACAGAACAATAACATAATAATAAGATCATTGTACAACTTCAGTATATTCCCTGTCTACCAATTTCACAAATTTGGAGGGGCAATCACAATCTGAGACTCCTCTCTTGCTGCACCTGGATTGTTCTCAAGTGTCCCACATCTTGGAACATCAGATAAATTTCTGCTACAAACTCATTGCAATTGCATCATTAGACACTGGCACTATTTGCAAATTCTTGTCAGGGCATTTAGCCCATGCATGAGAGCTCCAACAGCACTCTGTCTTAATTGCGAGTGTGACTACTAGTCAGTCTGGCATGCATGTAGGCTAGCACAATCCCTTTTTGTGGTAGTAGCCAGTCCTGCCAACTCCTGCATCACCTCCATGCCCCCTTTACCTGCCCACCCTCCTGTCCTCCATTCCTATCTCACAATGTTGGGAGGTATAATCTTCTAACTATTGGAGAGAAGTTGCTATGATGCTTGCAGTGTTCCCTTAAATCATGTTACTGAGCAAAAACTTTATTTATTTTGTTTTATCTTTACCTTCTGGGCATTTCTTGCAGCAATGTTTAACATGGCTGTCATAGAAAAGGCCACTTTCACATTTTGCTGAATCAGATCGTTTTATGCGATAGTTTTTTCTTGAAAATTCATTACTATCTTCATCTTCGTTAGGTCGAAACGTTGTATTTGTCATTTTGTTAACTTGCTTAGTTATTATTTCGTGAATTACGGCTTTGGCATAAAAAACCTAAGAAATGAAAAATACATTAAATGAGAAACATTTCACAGTTTTCAGAAAAATAAAAAAAGAAACTTTCTCACTAAATTGTGCCCTCTTTTTTCATAACTATGTATAAGTGATTCAGGTTTCATACAGTCAGCGTGAAATTTAGTCTTCAATGATTTATCAGAAAAAAAAACTTTTTTTCCCCCAGGTGTAAAAGTAAATGGTATTTATTGCAATTTTTAAAAACTTGCCTTTAACTCCCCCATATTGTTCCCCATTCTGTCTTTTTCCAAATTAATGCCCTTAATATATGTTATTATTATGTTATTATTTATATAGTGCCAACAAATTCTGCAGCGATTTTCAGTGGGGGGACGAACAAACAAGTAGTTGTAACCAGACAAGTTGGACTCTCAGGAACAGAGGGGTTGAGGGCCCTGCTCAATGAGCTTACATGCTAGAGGGAGTGGGGTGAAGTGACACAAAAGGTAAGGAAAGTATTAGACTAATGACAGTTGCAAGAGAGGAATCAGTCGGGACTCTCGGGAGCTATTAACAGTTTCATTGATACGCTTTTATGAAGAAGTGTTTTTTTTTTTTTATAATTTATAATTTATAATTTTTATTGTAGCATAGCATGTGTATAGTTATCATCTCTCATAGTTTTGCTACATTTTAAATGCAACCTTTGCATACAGTGTCACAGGTAGCAGGGAAACATAACAGTCTAGGCAAAGCATAGGTACAGTGCTATACAAATAGTTATACATAAGATTTCTAGTTGTGGTTGCATGGAATTAGTAAGAAAAATTAACATTCGCTTGTTGGAGATAGCTTCCTTTTGGGGGGGTATGAGCAAACTGGGAGGTACATGACAATGCGGTTTGCGGGTGGTCTATTGGGCAGCAGGCCCACTGGAGAAATATTGTTAAAGTGGGATCGGACATAGAGCAATGTCTGAGGATGATAGCCTAAGGGGCATACATCTGTGACACGCAGTCCAAGTTATAATGTACTTGCGATATTCAGGTTTTCGGCTGAAGGGTGGCCGCAGCACGCTCGTTGTTGGGAAAAAGGGTTGGATTCTCTTGACGTCCAATATCCAGGATATGTTCGCTGGTGTCTTTGCTGCGGAGGTAGTGCTTGTAGTGCCTCCAGGGATATTCCCAAGGTTTGCAGAAATGCTACAGAGTCACTTGCTTGGGTGATGTGTACTCTTTTGCCTTCATTGCTGACAGAGAGTCTGCACCCTGGTCCCCATATGTATTGTATCCCCTTGGCTCTCAGTAGTTGGGTGACTTCTTTCATGGAGAGTCGCCATGTGACTGTTGCCCTAGAGAGGTCATTATAGAAAGTAGCTCAGAACCTTCAAACTCATATGTGTTAGTTTCTCGGGCTGCTTCTTGTACTAGTAGTTTGCCCCGGAGAGATTGAAAGCGGATAAGTAGGTCCCGTGGGACGTCAGCTGGGGCTCTTGGTGGCTTAGGTATGCGAAAGTGAAACTCCACCAAGATGGATTTTGCTTTAGCTTGTAGTAGCGGGGAGGCTAGTAATCGGCGTAGGTAGTGTGCGACCTCAGAGTCTTGCACAGCCTCTGGTATCCCCCTTATCCTGAGGTTTCGCTGGCGCTTAGCGTCTTCCAGCGCCGCCACTTTATTTTCTAATATAGTGCTGGTCTTCTTCATTTGGGCCATTTCCCTTTGCAGGGTTTCAATTTTGGCTGTTGTGGCAGCTTCATTCACCTCCACAGCCTGTATGCGGGCTGTCATGGCACCCAAATCTTCCCTGATTAGGGCCACGTCTGCTGCTGATTGAGCTTTAAGCTCCTTAAGCAGATGGATGATGTCTGCTTTGCTTGCCGGCATTTGTTCAGGAGGTGGAGTACTCTCCCATCTAGTGCTCCTTGCTTCAGCGGCCTCCTCCATACTGTCATCTGAGGAGTGATCAGGGGCTTCCCGCGCGGGCGCCATCTTGGCAGGCCGTGGCCGCGGCGTTGCTCTGAGTAAATCGCCGATATTTTGAGAGGACGGCATCGCCTCGTTATGCAGCTGCTTGGATTTGCGTCCCATTGTGTTCTGACCTGCGTTGGTAATGATTGGGCTTTACGGAACTGCCGATTTCGTCCTTTGTAAGTGGATTTCTCCCGGAGCTCAGTGCTCGTACGTCTTCTTGGGTAGCTCGCTAACTCCGCCCCCCAGAAGTGGGTTTTTTAATGATTTTTTTGAAGGTGTGGAGACTGGGTGAGCATCTAACAGAGGAAGGAAGTGAGGTCCACAGGAACAGTGTTGACCGTCAATATCCTCGAATCCCATTTTACAACACGTTTTTTTACAATGTAAAATTTGCAAGGTTATTTACTAAATTGTCAGAAATTTCAAGTAAATTCAAAGTAAATTTTAAATTTAAGGCCAAAATCTCTGGACTTCTCCATGACAGCTATGCTTACATTTCAGTTGTTTTGGTCTAAAATGTGAAATTCACTTTCATTTCACTTTAAATTGCTGGCAATTATATCTTTAGTAAATAACCCAATTGACAACATTGTGCATCATCTACTTATGTCATGTAGGATTTTGCCTGCCTTGGGCACAGTAATTCCCAGAAATCATGTTTCCAAAATTCCCAACTCCCGCAGCTCAACAGGCATTTGAATAGATTATTCTCATTATATAAGAATAGACAGGCATCATGTTTCAGAATTTACCCTACACTTTCTTCATTTAAAAAATAATAATTTTTACAAAAAACTTTACAAGGAAATTGCAAATATCAGAAAAATATCCTAATGTGCTATTTCAGGCAAAGTTTGCAATTCCATTGTCTGTTTTCCAAAAATTTCCATAATAATGAATACACTGGTATGTGTCCTCCATATCAGTGAGCGTGTCCTTCTGTAATCAATATCCCAATCAGTGAGCAGGTTGCTCCGTAATCAATATCCCAATCAGTGAGCAGGTCCCTCCGTAATCAATTATCCCAATCAGTGAGCGTGTCCCTCCGTAATCAATATCCCAGTAAGTGAGCGGGTCCCTCCTTGATCAATATCTCAATCAGTGAGTGGGTCCCTCCATGATCACTATCCCAATCAGTGAGCAGGTCCCTCCGTGATCAATATCCCAGTTAGTGTATCCCAATCAGTGAGCAGGTCCCTCCGTGATCAATATCCCAGTTAGTGAGCGGGTGCCTCCGTGATCAATATTCCAATCAGTAATCGGGTCCCTCCGTGATCAATATCCCAACCAGTAAGCGGGTCTCTCAGTAATCAATATCCAAATCGTGTTTCAACTGAGCATCCATGACACATCGTTCCTCTATTCATCGTTCCTCTTCTCATTCGCCTTAAGTGGAATTTTCAAATCGCAGGATTTTTTTATACTATCTGCGATATTCACTAAGGTTAGAATTACCAAATTAAGGTCAAAATAACTGAATTGGAAAAACCCTCTTAGTCAGCTATGTTCTCAAATTCGGCTACTTTGGCTATAGTGTCTGGAATACAAAGCTGTATTCTTGGCACTATCACTCCCATTGCCTTCCTCCTACCTCGCGTTAAAAATCCTTTATTTACGTACCTTATCCCAGTGCCGATGTCCCTCAGTGCTTGGTCGATGCACCACCTCCTCTGACGTCCTATAACAAGCGGGCTCTAATGCGCATGCGCAGCAAATGCGGCATTCGCATTAGACCACCCCATCAATGCTTTTTCTATGGTGAAAAATCTGACGTTGGAGGGCCTCATGCAGAGCATGAGGAGGTCCAGCATCAGTTACCGAACCAAAGGTCAGTTTCGATCCAGGAGGCGCCTCCAGCGCCTGGAGACAGGAACTGGAAGCAGACTTAGAGCAGCAATGCAAACATTGCAATATCTCAGGAAATACAATATTTGGCATTGCAGCACTAAGTGCAAAAGGGTCATTGCACCCAGACCACTTTAATGAGCTGAAGTGACCTGGGTGCCTATAGTGTTCCTTTAAATGTAAAAATCCACTTATCTTTATCCTGTAATTGGACGCCTCCATTTTAGCTCACTGTCAATCATTGTTAGAAACTCTGTCCTACTCTGTGTACCTGGCAATCAGCATAGAGAGAGCATACAAAGATTAAGAGACATGAAACAATGTTTCCATTTCTTCTCTTTATTTACAATACTGGCCCTACCCTAATATAATTTTAAAGAGAATGGAGCATCTCGTGAAAAAAAAATGTTAACAAAAGGTGATTTTTCAATATGCTAGTCAATGGTGTAAATGACAGAGAAATTACAGTTCTGATTCTGGTTTTGCACAATTGAGACCCGAATATTGTGGGGGGGGTTTCATACAATATTCTTATTTTGATTTTTTTTTATTTTTTTTATCGGTGCCAACAAATCATGCATTGCTTAATGCATTACTTATAGGTGTATTGTAAACTTTATTATGAACAGACGAAGGTTTCTGGTAATGATGAACACACCCAACCTTACTAATAAAAATAGGAGAAGAATATGTGATTATATAATGAGATCGCATGTTTAAATGTTTAAAAATAAAGCGCATAATATGGTATGAAAACTGAGTCATTATACGTAGGAGAACTCGTTTTAAAGTCTCAGCTGCAGTGGAATGTGTCATTGCCTGCACAGGACCTGTAGAAATGTACCAACAGGAAAAATCGTGAAGTTATAGTGTGGAAATGAAACAGGGCAAATTCTACTTTCCGTGACCTTTCTATCTTGCAAGAGAAAAAACAAAGGCTGTTTCTGAAAATACTCAATAACCCGTACTCTATCAGAGAGGTTGGGATATGTCGTAACAAGTCTCTGCCTATTTGTTACTGTTCCAGGTTATGTCCCCTTTTCTGTAGCTTTGATGCTCTCTGAGATGTCAATCAAAACATACTCTAAAACGATTACATGCTGGTATTCAATAAGATCCCACCACTACCTAATTAATAGACGGGTGTGCAGCAATGCTCTGTTATCCTACTCCTCTTCTGTGACAGTCAACCAGGGGTGCGGGGGTGGGGGTTTGTGGGGGCTGGTTCCCTTTTATAGCCTTGTCAAAAAAAAACACACAACCCCACACGCTCACACTCAACCAAAAAGAATCACACTGAGCCAATCCCCTATCATCTCATTCAGCAATCACCACACTAAGCCACCATGCAAATTCACATACAGTCTCCTCACACACAGCCACCATTTACAATCTCACTTAGACATTTGCACATACACCCCACGCACATCACACTCATACACCCCCCACACACTCAGCCATACAGACACACACATCCTACACCAAACACGGATAAGCACTGTGATACATTCATGCATTCTACACATTAGAGAGTTTTAGTGCTGTGGAGCTCTATGATATACTCATACATACCGCACATGAAAATGAGGGTAAATCAGGGGGAATAGTATTAGATAACAGAGAGTTTGATGGAGAGGAAAGGGCACATGGAGAGAGGTGATATGCACAAGGAAAGAAATCGACATGGGGAAAGGTGACATGGATGAGAAGAGGAAGGGACAGGGGTAGAAGAAAAGGTATTTTCTTACTTTTGATCAGCTGTTTAGCAGAGTGTTCCCTAATTTGGTATCGTCATATGTGACAATCGCATATGGAAACTAAATTAGGAGGCCATCTATTAAACTGCTGAAAGACCAGAATTAAGAAACGGCCTCCTTTTCTGTGTTATTGTTATCACCACTATTATTATCATTACCATGGCTATATGGATAAATCAGCCCTCCATCCATTCAACAAGGAGATATCTGACTACAATTTTGGGGTCAAGAAGGAATTTTTTCCTAGTTTGTTGCAAAATTGGAAGCACTTCAGAGTGGGTTTTTTGCCTTCTTTTGGATCAACAGCAAAAACATATGTGAGGAAGGCTGAACTTGATGGACGCAAGTCTCTTTTCAGCTATGTAACTATGTAACTATGTAACATTCACAGACATGGCATCTTGCCCTCATGTGAGAAAGGTTGCTGACCCCTGGTTTAAATAAGTGACTCCTATTTTTACAAGTGTTTTGGTGAAAAGAAAAACAAATTTCAACATTTATACAAGAATTGCTCATGTGGTAAAAATCTAAAATTTGGCTATACTCACAGCTTGACTGAAGTTAATAATTCAGATTCCAGTTCTCTGCAGTTTGTGTTTAGTGTTATCTACAAAGGTATGAACTGTTCAGAACTCAAGGTGAATTCCAAGTGAGTTTAACATTTAGGACAAAATAACAGAAACCAAAATATAGCTGGCTCTGAGAATTTTGCCAATTTGACTATTTTGGTCTAAAATTTGAAATTCCGCTCTGAATTCTTGATGACTCATACTTTTATACTGTAATTGAGAAAACCAGGGCTGATTCTAGACCCCAAAATTCCCTTTCTGCACAGTCAGAAGAAGTTACTTTTTGATCTTCAAACACTTTATAATTTCCTGTGTTGTGTGATGACTACAGATTTCCTGATCTCTTGTTCCTGGAAGCTGGTGAGACATAGACAATGATACAAAGGTTCTCCAAAGCAAAATGTTGTTTAACACTTTGCACCTTAAAGGACCACTATAGTACCAGGAAAACATACTCGTTTTCCTGGCACTATAGTGCCCTGAGGGTGCCCCCAACCTCAGGGTCCCCCTCCCGCTGGGCTGGATGGAGAGGAAGGGGTTAAACTCACCTCTTTCTCCAGCGCCGGGTGGGGAGCTCTCCTTCTCCTCTCCGCCTTCGATCCTCCTCTTCGGCTGAATGTGCATGAGCGGTAGGAGCTGCGCGCGCATTCAGCCAGTCTCATAGGAAAGCATTCACAATGCTTTCCTATGGACGCTGGCGTCTTCTCACTGTGATTTTCACAGTGAGAAGCACGCAAACGCCTCTAGCGGCTGTCAATGAGACAGCCACTAGAGACTTTAGAGGCTGGATTAACCCATTTATAAACATAGCAGCTTCTCTGAAACTGCTATGGTTATAAAGAAAAGGGTTAATCCTAGAGGGACCTGGCACCCAGACCACTTCCTTAAGCTGAAGTGGTCTGGGTGCCTAGAGTGGTCCTTTAACAAATGATCTAATCTGACAGTC